TTAGTCAATACTTACTACGGAGCTGCCGTGTGGTCACGGCATAGAGTACGCCATCTCTTCTATTCCCGTAGGTCGTAAGAGGTGATTAATAAAACATAATAATTTGCTATAGAATTCTAACGGCATTAGAACGAAATGTAAAGTATCACAAATGGTTTAATTGGTACTAAAAATTCTTATGTTTTTGTATATATTTACATGGTAAATAAATTTAAAAAATAATTTAGTAATCTTACTATATTATTGTGTAGTAAGATTATTTATATTGTTGTGCAGTATCTTATGTACAATAATATAATTTTAATATAAAAAAGACTGAGCTATTATGATCTAACATTGGTCTGAATTTATGAACTAAGATTTTTATCCGGCGCAGTATCTTTCGTTATGAATATATAATAATATAGCAAGATTATTAATTTATTATATTATTATTATTAAAAATTATATTATTGTGTAGTATCTACTGTACAATAATATAATTTTAATATAAAAAAGACTGAGCTATTATGAGCTAGCATTGGTCTGAATTTATGAACTAAGATTTTTACTCCGGTGCAGTATCTTTCGTTATGAATATTTAAAAGAGGCTTAGACGTAAGTCAAGATGAATGAGTTAATTTGGACCGCCTCATAATATAAAAGGATTTTCTGATGGATAGCAGCACGTATAAGGATTTTAAGTTATTTATTCAAAAAACTAGCCTTCGCAGAAGCCTGGTTAATTTATTTCTTTCCTCGTTGTTAACCTCCTACATAGATCTGCCCAGTACTAGGAAGTACTTGACGAGAAATTAATATACTTCATCTATACTAATATTAAAGAGAAAAGATTTGATTTATTATCAGCGAATATATACTATATGTATATCATTTTCGAAAATACTATCTACTCAAGCGAAGCCAGGTCGAATCGCTAATTTAAAATAAAGTAATCAATGTCACATTATATTTTATCCAGTCGGTAATTAGATTTTTTTAAATATTTTTACTAGAGCAACCTAATCGCCATGTTATGGGGAAAAAGGGAGTTAGTACTAGGGTCTAACTTATCCATTGCCAGCAATACACCCTATCAGGTCGACTTCGACATGGTTCCCCTGGAAACTATCGTGGTTAATTCTAGTGAAATTCGTCACAATGGGCCGACTGACCTGCTTTCATCCTCACCTCTCACTGGTGCCCCGCCAGCGTATAACGATAACCATTATCACTCATTAAAAAAAATCGCCATGTCATTATTTCTTGCAAAGTTTTGCAATCCTATAGTTTGAAGACAATTTACTGATATATTTATTTTCACTATAACAAACAACAAAAAAAAAAAGCCAAAAAAACATAGATCTAATATATATTGTAAATAAATAAAGTGTAATATACATATAATATTGCGTATACAACACGACTTTATACATATGTATTATTACACACACATTTTCTTACTAAATCAAACAACGCTAGCAGATACCTACGTCTGCTGTACAATCGTGGTATCAATACAAATGCTGTACGTGTACGTTTATTTACAAAATATGATTTATTAATTAAATCGAAATAAAGTACCTCCTACGTATCTGTCTATAGTTAAACAACAAGGAACACGAAACTAAAGATATTTCAGTAGTATTCAATTACTGTTTTAGTTGGGCCGAGAGGAAGAATGAAAAATAGAGTTGTGCATACGAGTTACACAATGACGAAAATACCACAGCTATGTTCACAGCAGGCGTGTCACGTCGTATGCACAACTATATATATATATATATATATATAGTTGTGCATACGAGTTGCACAATGACGAAAATATCACAGCCATGTTCACAGCAGGGGTGTCACGTATACACTGACGAAAACAGAATAATAAATTATCCATATACAATAATGCTTCTGTAGTGTATTACGATAGTTAACGAGGGTTACTTCTTGATAGAAAAAATTTAGGGGTCATCAAAAATGAGTAATTCAGTTACTGTGTTAGTTGAGTCTAGAAAAAGAATATAAATAAATGTAGTTGTGCATACGAGTTACACAATTACGAAAATACCACAGCCATGTTCACACCAGTGTAGTGTATTATGATACAAAACGAGGGTTGCTTCTTAATAAAAAAAAATTAGGGTCATCAGAAATACGAGAGTACATCTGATAGTTTTGTAACTAACTTTTTTTAATAAGTTTTCTAGAAAAGTGGCAAAAGAATTTATTTCTAAATATGTTTGCATCGTACACTCAAGAACCGTATAGAATGTTCAGCGTCGCATTCTTATGCATGAAAACGATGTAGATTATGTAGATAGAGCATTCAGAGTGAAAAACGAGTCAAAACGTATTTTTTTAAGGGTACATAAATGAGATAAAATGTCATTAAATTCTTGAGCTATTTTGACATTATTATTGTCTATTTTCAGTTATATCCTTTCAACCGTTTTTTTGATGCTGTAGACTTAAATACAAGTACGAATAAAGGTATACTTTCACCTATAATTTTAGAAGCACAAGATTTCCATTAAGAATGTCGAGATAATATTTATGTTTTAACTATTGATGGTCAAAAAAATTATTATTATAATGAAATATCCGAATCAATACTAATAGAATATTTAAAAATATATACTTCAAAAGTACCCTTCTTCACTTACTTTTTGTACAATACTTTAAAAGTATATATTTTTATACTACAAAGGAGACAAACAAGCATAAAGCCCATCTGATGGTAAACGGTCACTGTAGCCTATGAACGCCTGCAACACTAATGGTGTCAAGGGGGCATTGCCGATCCTGAAGAAACCTTAATATATATTTTTTAAAGGCTCCGACCCCAAATAAATGGAAAAAGGAAAGGCAATGATGATGATACTTTAAAAATACTAAAAGGAATATGTATAAATAAGAATGAAAACAAACATTTGCGAATATTTCCATTTATTTTCGGTTTCCAATAGTTTAATGAAAACATTCCGACAGTTATAAAGACTTCGTTTAAACTATTTACACTGTAACGTACAAACTTAAATTAAACAGATAAAATTATTAACTAGCAACGTAATTGGATATTTTATATCCATAAAATAAAATTTGCAAGTTTTATACTATTTTCTTTTCCAATAACAAATTTTTGTATTACAAATTATTCATTAATACCACTCTCGTAAAAGCCGTGATTTCACATTTTGTAAATTCGAGGCATTTGTAAAAAGAATGATAACATATACATATTTTCAGTTATAACAATATTTGTAATTAAAATATTTAATTAAATTAATAATATATTATTTATACTACACCTGATTGGAAAATGTTCATGTCTTTTCATCCAATTATGAAGAAGATTCCTCTAAATAAATCAATTAAAGCATTGTTACAATTTTATAAATAATTAAGTCATTCTCCTGTATAACAGTATAGTAGCAACAGGTCACTACAAAGAAAGTACATTCTCAAGTCCTACATTCGTTTACTTTATTTTTCTCAAAGGTGTAGTATAAAGTCACTCAGAAGAAATTAGAATTCTCCACTTTTACATTGCACTTTCGTCAATTTATTTTTCAAAAACTTTAGTATAAAACAATACATCGTTTAAAAGAAAGTACGAATTATACTCTTCCTTACTTTATTTTTCTCAAAGGTGTAGTAGAAAGCGATAGATCATCTAGGAGAAAGTAAAATGTCCACTTGTGATCACTTTATTTTTCTCAAATATGTGATATTTATATATATATATTTATATTTATAGCAAGAGGTCACTCGAGTAAATGACAATTTCCACTTTTAATTACTTTAATTTTCTCAAAAATACAGTATTCAGAAATAGATCATCTAAGGAAAAGTACGATTCCCACTTTCGCTTACTTTATTTTCCTCAAAAGTGTGATATAAAGCAATAGGTCACATAGGAGAATGTACAATTCCCACTATCGGCTACTCAAGAGAGCGTACAATTCCCACATTCGATCACTTCATTCTTTACAAAAATGTTGTGTAAAGTAATTTGGTTAGCCAGGAAAAAATACTTGTATGATTTGGAGTTTCGCTTACTGTATTTTTCTCAAAGATGTGATAAGACACTATACATAGAAAGCAATAGCTCAAGAGAAAGTACAATTAACACGTTTGGTCTCTTTATTTTCCCTGTGAACAATGTCAGTAAACTTATATGTATGTAACGCCATTTAAATAACATATACATTTTTTTATTTTCTCGTTATCATACAGATTCCTTCCAGGTATTTGAAAGGTCGAGCGAAAAAGATAATTTTAGTGGATAAACCCACTATTATGAAAAGGTATTCTGTAATTTTTCGATTTTACAAATAAAAGTTTTTGTAAAAAAAAAAGAAATCTTTTTCAACTTAAATAAATAAAATAAATAAATTTTATTATCGATCTTAAAAAGAAAACTGTAAATTAAGCTAAGGATCCCAAATAAACATTTTTATTTTATTTATTATTTATTAACTAATGTGTCAAACAAGCCTCTTATTAAAAACAAAAAAAAAACAAACATAATATACGTTAAACTATATACGAAAGTATGTATTTCATATCGTTCAAATTACATAACAATAATGATACTAATTTAGTTTTTTCCTTTGAAAATTGTTATAATATTGTACACCGCTCTACCCGCTGCCATTGACGTTCCTTTCCACTTCGGGGTTGCTGGAAAAGAACTCTTTTAGAGTTGAGCTCGCCTTTGTACATTTATGTATTTCTGTCATATTTTTATGTAATATTAGTGTGTACACTAAAGTATAAATAAAAAATAAGATACTAAGTTTATAAGAGGTTTTATGTATTTTATAAACATTACTGTCATACAATGTATGTTTTTTTTCTGTTAAAACACAATCATAAACTACATAAGTGTAATAAGCAATTTTCATATAAAATAATAATAAAATTAATTCTAATATTTTTCTTTCATTACTGAACACACATATATATATATATATATATATATATTATATATATATATATATATATATATAATATATCTTGTTCAAAGACTATCCACAGTATACCTGAGATGAGAGAGATGAGACAGCTATGCGCAGTGGTTAAAATTCGTATTAAGCCTGTCTTAAATGTTACATTCTTAAATTTCATATTTAAGATTAAGGATTTTCATTTTTCATGTATGATCCCTGATTACTTTAAGACGCCTAAAACATTATCCTATAATCGGAAAAATCTTTTATATTTTCAATTTTTACCAAAATCGGTTTAGAAGTTTAATTTTTAAATCAAATTAATTGGATTCCTTAAACATTGGTTATAAATAAAAATCGGTTTGAAGGGTGGGATATGGCAGTGAATTTACAGAGAATAACACTTGAGTCCTCAGGAATGGTAACACGTGGGAGTTATCATGTGCGTAACAGCATGTATGAAGTACCATGTGTTAAGTCCATGGTACCATGGGAGGTATTATGGCCGAAACAGGATAATCTGTTATGTCCATAGTACTACTCATGTCTATAGGCGACGGTTACCATTTTCCATCAGGTGGGCCGTCAGCTTGTTTGCTATTCTAAGTTGTATATATTTTTTTCACTTTGGTCAGATTTAATATGAATTTCAATCACTGCATGCATAGTTATTTAGCTTAATAGACAGTTATATCATGTGCTTATAGAGTGATATTAATTTTGAGCTACATAATTAATACCCATGAATTCTTTCCCAACATTACGACCTAAGATCTTGCGGTTGAATTCTGCATGTATAAATTTTTTAATTAAATTTGGTTTGGGAAAGTTCCTCCCGTTTGCCCACTGTCAGTTAGCCGTAAACAGATTGTCAGGTATGCCACCTGTTATTTGTGGCCATTTTTTATGTTATCGTATAGAAAAAGGAATAAATTCTCATTTAATGTATGTTCTATTAATAAAGTCTAATTCCATGTAATTACAGCACCATCGTCTAAAACAAAAATTTAGATGCCATTTTTCAATAGACATATGCTATCGTGTATAGAAAAGAATAAATTTCTGTTTAGTGTAAACCAATCTTTTCGCTTGTCAACCTTGGTTGAGGGTAACTGAGAGCAGGTAACTGGATTTTAAATGCATTTTATTATATTTTCGTTCATCTTTCATTAAGTTTCATACAAAAGTTTTATACATACAGAATTCATTATTTTTCATTCATATCAACTTTCATTTAAAAATTTTATACATTCAAAATTTAATGGCGGGATTTTAGACTATTACAAAAAATTGCATAAATGGGCGTCAAAATTACTTAAGTTGCTTATTGCATTTGTTTTTTGACATCATTATAAAAAACTTGTTATATTTATATTAATAAAAAATAATAATAATAACTTGAAAGTACACACAGTGCCAAAATGTAATAAAATAACGGAAACGCGTTTTTCGCTAGTGATTGCAGATAAAAAATAACCGTTTATTCGCATTTGGTTCGCAACGGTTGACTAAAAACCTGTTATTTCTTTTAAATAGCTACCCATCGCTACTTCGTTCGAGTGTACTAACGAATGAAATAAGACCCAGATCTTCAATTATTCGCCATTCTATAAAAATTTTCAAACCTTTTCTTTCATACAAACCTTGTCCTGACAATTACAGATAGCAAAAAAAAATTTTTTTTAAACGCAGCCGTTCTTTAGTGATGCGCTTACATCGACTCAGCGATTGATTTTCATTTATACTTTGACACTGTATTTACATTTTACACATAATTTAATAAATAAATCAACTATATATAATACACTTTTTAATGTAACTGCGATCAATCTGTACGGCTTTACAGTGTCACAACTAATAACGTTAACGTATGACTTTAAGACACGAATAGGATTAATAACTGTATAATACAAAACATATTTACATTGGTAAATTCACGTATTTACAATACTCCTTAATGGACAAAACTATAAAATTACAAATGTCTCAACTCGTATTATGACATATTTAACCGAAAATACGTATCTAATTGTGTAGTTCTCGTTCGTAAAGGTATAAATTTTACCAAGACTTTCAAAATTATAAATTCGGTTTTGTATACAAAAAAGCAATTTTTTTTAAATGAGCATTGTTAATAATTAAAAAATAAATAATGTAGACAAGATGTTGCCAGTGTTTGAAGTTAGACTAAATAGTTAAAATTTTAATTACCTAGAGGAAAAACATCGAAAGCAATTAGACTATCTAGAGAATAACTATTGTTATAAAATGAGACGAGACATTTATAATGCATAATAATATTATAATATATTATCACATTTTCGTGATTATGATAAACTGACTATAAATTCAGTTATTTCAACTATAATACAATATAGGAAACAGTTCTATTGAAATACAAATTTTTGAAATTTCATTTCAACGGACTTTATTCCTTTAACGTAGTTTGCCGTTAAAAATTCTATAACGCGTTATTGTTATTTGAAAACGTTATTAACGCTATTATTTTACACGATTGGTTTTACAAAATTTTTCACAACCATTTATGACAAAAAAAGAGTGTATAATTTTCAATATTGACGATTATTTCGGTTTGTTGGTAGTTCTGTTATAATATCCTTTAATATAAATTGATTCGCAAAACTCTTGACTAGATTAACATAGTATTTACATTTGTAATTTACATATTAGTAGTAACGAATTTAATTAGTTCTATCTAATCCAAATACATCTAATCACCAGTTGGGATCCAGTAATTGATACAAAATCACCTATTGCTCGATAATATTAAACAAACCTCGAGTCTTTTATCGTTGAGCACGCCGGTCACTTGTCACTTGCGTCTATTTACACATGTCCTAGAGTTGAGTCGTCTGTCAGAGCGGGGTGTCGCGTGGCGTAATCCGCGGGGCGGCGGCGGGCGCGGGCGCGGGTAGCGGACGCGGCAGCGTGCGGAGATGCTGTAGTGGTATACCGCACCGCGCTTCCGCCGGCGCCGCGATACTGGAACCGCGCGGTAACGTGCACGAGCCCGCTGCGAAACGTGCAGGCGGTGGAATGCCCGATGTGGGGTTTTGGAATGTGGAGTCCTAATAAAAAAAAATAGGTTGGTATTACATTTTAAATGAAATCTTTTTTCAAAATAAGTTATATTACATACAATATATAGAAAAAAAAAACATTAGAGTTAGTATTAATTGAGATCCTGCCAAGGCTTTTCCTAGAGACAATAGTACCCCATACTATAGTCTCAAAAAAGGGTATTTTAAGGTTTCTTCAAGGGGCAACGTGACATCCCTAGTGTTGCAGGCTTCGATAGGTTATAGCGACTGTTTACCATCAGAAGGGCTGCATGCTTGTTTGTCACCTTTATGAAAAAAGAAACCTATCTGGAATGGATGTCAAAGATGGTTCATATACCGTATACATAGACCAATACTCTAAACACAAACATATATAGAGTACTTAATATTCTGATTCACGCGTGCATAGTTTTGGATTTCAGTAGATTGTGATTGAATGTTAATAAGTCAGTTCTGAATATTTACAAATCGGAAAATATAGATGGGGAAATACATTATAATCACCATAAGAGTCTGGTGGACATATATTTCTCTATATAAAAGGAGGATATTAACCTACTTTTAGTACACTGATAAGTCGTTTCGTTGATTACGTGTGTTAATTTCTTGCAATGCCGTATATGTTATGTTCTCCTAGTACTTACGCTATTGTGACGACAAAAATTAAATACAATTAATTTCCAATAAAAAAATGTCCATGTATTATTGAACGATATTTTAATAGGACATTAATAATGATTTATGTATTTCTAAATACACATTTGTACAATTAAATAGCATTTTTCTGTACATGTCATTAATTTGGTACCGCGCCAGATTCCGGTGCAAGGAAGTCACGCCTCGGTCCAGTATTGGCTATGTTCCAGAGGCTTTGTTTTAACTACTATTACAATTTTAAACATTTTAGTAGCCAACGTGGTTTCTTACTATACAGTGAATACAAGTGTTCACTAGAATTACTGCTCTTTCAAGATAGTTGGTTTTACGTTCTCATTTTCTACTTTATAATCTCGTGAAACAACGTCTTCTACTTGAAACACATTTTCTTTATTGGTTTATTTCTTATTAAAAAGTTTGTCTATTTTGTAAAATGTATGAGTTTACGACTTACACTATCGCCAGATGACGTCGATCTTTGGTCGTCGATCACCAGCAACGGAGCTCCAGTACATCAAAATGCATACTATTTGCTTCTCTCGGTCATTATACGTGATAGATCGGTCATATGTACTCGTTTATACATCGCCATAACGCAGGCGAACGTTCGTGCTTTGTCTCTGTTTACTCATTTGTGTGATGATCTTTCTTCGTCGGAAGATTAGTAACGTCGCATTGTTTTTTTTTTTTTTATATAAGACGCTCGGTCGATCCACATTAGGTATATATTTATGCGACCGAAGATCAGTGACAGCAGATACATTGCAAATGGTACTAGTTTTAATGCCATATTACTAGAAATTGGTGTCCCTAGGTATTTATAGCAAAAGAACAAATTTTCAATATAATCATCTGATAACTTACAGAAGGATCATGCATCGAAGGATGCGACGGTGGCGGTGCAGTCCTTAATGGGCAATATCCGGGAAGACCCCCTCGGACTCCAGCAACACTCCCACGAGGACCTCTACTGCCCAGCGGTGGGGAAATAGTCGAGACCTGCTGTTGGCGGTAATAGTCCAACTAGTGTGAGGAAAATAAAACATTGTTCTATTAATGGATTACATTCTCTAGTAAGAAATAAGAAAAAAAAAAGTCAAACTTATGTCTCTTGTTCTCTCAGTCACTCAGCATATGGTGTGGTAAGTTCGTTGCATAGGTATTCTATAGAAGTCATGTATAACATAACAAAACAATAGCTATAATAAAAAAAAAAACTAAAATGAGATTAGAATAAAAAAAATATTAAATTAGAATACAGAAACAATTACACTTATATTAAAGGAATAACATGCTGATAGTCAAGCAACGAAAAAATGTTCATACTATGATTTTATTTTAATACAATTATCATCATCATCATATCAGCCTTCTATTATCCATTGCTGAACATAGGTCTCCCCTAAAAGACGCAAAATACTTTTATACTAAATAAAATTAAAATAGGAAAATATTGAAATGCAATCCATACCTGCATCTGATCAGTATCAGATGGAATTATGTCAGGATTACGATCATCGCTTTCGCTATCATCTTTTTCTCTTAATTTATCAGGAGAGGCTGGTTGTGAAGATGGTGGAGGAGCCGATCTTGGTTTCCTCTTAGCGCACCGTTGTCTGACTGCTATCATGAAAAGAACCAGCACCACCATAAGGACTCCACCTCCGCCGACAGCAGCAGACATGGCCCCGGACATTTGAAACGCTGTTCTGGGTAAATCTGTATGAAGTAAGAAAACTTTCTGCATTGTTTGAATTTTAAAATTTTAGAAATTAAAAATGTTTCAATCATGGTTCTTAGTTGGAGTGCCAAAGAAAAGTCAACCTTCTATTATCAGCTTTTTAATTGCATATATTGTAACCTTACCTAAACTTTTATCATGAACATGATGTTTCTCCGGTGGTCTCAATGTACTGGCTCTCAAAGGATATGGATCTCCTCTTCCCTTAGCATTATATGCAAGGACAGCGGCTGCATACGTTCGTCCAGGCTGTAAACCCGCTGCCATGAAGCGAGGTACCGCGCTTGAAACGTTGGCAACTATTTCCTAATGAAGTATAAACAAGAATGTTTACTGCATGTTATTTATAGTTGCATGGGGTCAAATTCTTATACCTAAATACTCGTATCGTCGATCATAAATATCTTCAATCGTGAATAACTGATCAGTCATCATTGATACAGGATGAGATAAGAATAGTAATATCTATCTAGTTAAGTCACACAAAACTCTTAATTAGTATTGAATGGTGTATATTAATCAAGTAAAATTTTTAACAAGTCTGAATTTGGATTTAATTCAGGGCTCGAAAAAATTCGTATTTAGATATGAACTTGGTTTCAACTGGATGTTGAAGAATACAGATAAAGATGATACGTACAGGGTGGCCCAAAAGTCCTTAGAAAAGTAAAATTTGAATTAAACGAAAACGGCGCGCGTGAGCGGTGCAGGGGAAGCGGGGGCAGTAACTTCGGTTTCTGGGAATTTAGTCGCGATGGAGCGTTTCACCGGAGCGGACCGTGCGTTTTGTGTACGCGAGTTTTATCAAAACAACAATTCGGCAACCGTTGCGAGGCGTAAATTTCGAGAACACAAAGGTTTACACAACTTTGATGACACCCCAGCTCTCCAAACGATTAAGAATTGGGTTGCTAAGTTCGAGGAGACCGGTTCGACGTTAGATAAACCGCGGTTGGGTCGCCCAAGGACATCACGTACGGAACAAAACATCGACACAGTGGCACAATCTATTCGTGAAAATCCTACACAGTCAACTCGTAAGCGTTCCAGTGCATTAAACGTATCCAGGACATCGTTACAACGGATTTTGAAGAAAGATTTACTTATGCACCCTTAAAAAATTCAGTTGGTACAAGAATTAAAAGAAACTGATGCTATTCAGAGAGTGAATTATGCTAATGAAATGTTTAATCGGTTTACTTCATTCAATAACATAATGTTCTCTGATGAGACACACTTCCATATTAACGGACATGTTAGTAAACAAAATTGCCGCTATTGGAGCCCGATTAATCCAAAACTTAAGCACCAGAAGCCCTTACATAGCCCTAAAGTTACAGTTTGGGCCGCTAAGTCAGCCCATGGCATCATAGGGCCTTACTTTTTTGAGGACGGCAGAGGGCGTGCTGTTACTGTTACTTCGGAGCGATATGTGGCCATGATCGAGGAGTTTTTCACACAAAAATTGCAAAACTTTCCAGGCTTTAATGCCCGAACATGGTTTCAACAGGATGGAGCAACTTCCCACACCTCCAATACTGCTATGCCCGTTATCCGTCCACTTTTTCCAAACAAAGTTATCTCTAAGAGAGGAGACATTTCTTGGCCTCCACGTAGCCCGGATCTGACTCCAATGGATTTTTTTTTGTGGGGCTACCTTAAGGCTAAAGTGTACGACTCTAACCCGCGGTCAATTAATGACCTAAAAGAAAACATCCGCAGAGAAATGGCAAGCATTTCAGCAGTGACGTGCCGCGCAGTCATCGACAATTTCAGAAGGCGTTTGCAAGAGTGCCGTGACTGTAACGGATTACATTTGGACGACGTTATTTACAAAAAATAATTCCCGTTTTTCTAGCTATATTTACAAATAAAAATATTATTCATAGTGTAATTAGTTTTATTTTAATTAATTTTTTTCATTACTAAGGACTTATGTATATGTATTTAAAACAGTGATCTAAATTATGACTGAGAAAAAGCTCATTTAATACACCAAAATAAAAATATTATAAAAAAAATAATTCAATTTGTAAGAAAATTTTTGTTTTAATAACGCGAGTCTTGCTATGATATACATTCCAAACAATTTATACAAAGACTCAAATTTCTAAACGATATAGTCACTGAATAAGTAGATAATCAATAGGTTTTAGACATGGTATCGTGTACGTTAGACGCGATAGATATTTTAATGGTTATGCGCTACTAGCTCATTTCTAGTCTCTCAATTCAACGCCGTTGAAATATTGGAAAACCGATGCAAAAATCTACTTTGGTAAATCCGAATATTTATTTAAATTGTAAATATTTTTCTAAAGTTCCACTCGCTACGAAATTTTTCAATTACTTAATAATAATTGGAGTATGATTCAAATTTTAATAATTCCTCTAAATATTTTCAAAATAGGTAATACATTTGAAAGTATATCAAGATATTTTACTGATGTGGTTCTAATTGTTGTAATAGATGAAGTATCTTGCTTTATAGATAATTATTAGTGTAATTAATTTCCACAAAATGTAATAAACGTGAAGTCACTATTTTAATATACCTAATTTAATTTCCGAACTGATTTAACAAGACGTTCTCCTGTTTGCTAATTGTCAGAATAATTACTAGGTATTATGTTAATTCTTCTTTAATTACATTGTAAGCGTTCTACAAAGGAAATTAAATACATGTAAGGGAATACTCAAATGTTAGAAACATGAAAATGTCTTAATTTGGATAATATCACTTTCATTAAATTAGAGACATTGTGTGTACATGTTTCAAAGTGGTGATTCTTTCAATCAGTGTTTGTTTATATTTTAGAAGGAAATTCCAAACTTTTCTATTATTTTTAATGTCTTTTAATTCATCAATTAGCGTGACATTTCCAATAAACCTATTTAGTAAATTTTGCTTAATATTTCAACTATCTAGTTTTAACAAATTATCTTCTTATTAGATCTACGTTGTTGCTTGGTTTTATGAGTAATGTCGGTAGATTATCTTATTAGTTGCTGTTACTTTTTAAGAAATTTCATAAAAGAAAAAGTTTCTAATTTCTATTATATATTCTCTTGTCTTTCATCAATTTTGTTTTTCTCTTTAAAGTCGATAGGTTTTACTTTCATCAATTGTAAATTGGTAATATCGACAATATCCATTATTAATTAGATTAAATAATATGTTATTTTTAAACATTTACCTATCTAGTTATATTTTCTTATAACGTTTCTTTATATAAGTTCTAATGGAAATTATTTCTTATTTCAGTAGCAAACATGGAATATAAGAATAAGATTTAGTTCTCGGTACTTTTTTAGCAACTTTATTCATAAAATTATACAAGATCGTAGTTATCTTTTTCTAACTTTGTGCTTGACATAGTTATGTCAAGCGCAAAGTCTTCAGTTTCGAGATTACAGGCGAGTAAACTCAACGAGCGTCTAGGGAGTCCCCTTTGGAAGCTATTAATCTCACATCGGGAGCGTTTCCATCACGCCACTCGCGAGATAGCTAAAAGAAAGCTAGCTTATTTAGAACACTGCAAAATGTAATTTATCTTTAGATATATAATATACTTATACAAAAAGTATAAAGAGCTGAATAACCCTTACTAATATTATAAATCTGAATGTAAGGTTGTTTGTTAGCTTTTGGCGGTTCAACTAATCGGAATGAAATTAATATTTACGAACTATATGGGGTGGACAACGATGAAGGTTAATCCCGGTCAATGACCATATCCCGGTAATGTGTAGGAAGTTGCGAATGGGAGCCAGTAGGTAATTATAATATTTTATTTTATAAGTTAATCAAAATTAAAAATTTCGTGAGCATAAGGTAATTTATAAACCTGGTGGAAAATATTTTTTATAATAAGTGTGTTTTAGTTATTCTTCGTATATTATACTATTATAGGCACTTAAGAAGGATATTAAATTATTTAAGAAGAATTATTTAGACAGTATTAATAATATAAGTGATTTACTTACTTGAGAAATTATCTCACGAACTTCCAAAAGGAAAGATTGCGGCATGCCACCGTTGAAGCCCTCTGAACATCGCACGCCGAATGAAGTCATTGATGCATTTACCACAGAGCAATTATGGACTTGATCAGGTCGACCTGTAGATATTAGTTCAATATTATAGAATATGATAGAGAAGTTAAGAGTCTCAGGAACAGGCAAAAGAGGAGTTATAAATATGCAGGAAGCAAGAGATATTATGTAAGAATAGAGACCTATGGCATTCGGTTCTCTGTGTCTTGCCCGCATAAGGATAAATATTATCCTATGATTAATATGTTTAAATAGGGGTTTTTTAAAAGTTTAACGTTTGAGTAATTTAGTTGTATTTATTGCTTTGCTAAAAAGCAACTGTATTCTCATGGTTGTGTTTCGATTTAAAGGGATAAGACAAGGAATTTACAGCATAAGAAGTTATACCATCTGTGTTATAAGATATAAAATGGACATCAAAGTGTATTTTGTAACATCTATTATACTGGTTACTGCTATAAATTATGATTTTTTCCATTATCTTGTTTAGCATTACAGGTTGCATAAAAGAAAAATAAATTCTTACCAGCTGCAATAATATGATAGACACAAGGTACGCGTTGCTTTCCTATTCTATTATGAGCCCAGCACAATAATGTTCCGTAGTCCATCTCAGTGTGAGGGGTATAGGTTACAGTAGAACTGGTACCAGCCCTGGACACGTATGTATCGCTAACTTCGTTACTATTCGCCGTGTTGTTGAAGGTCCAACGAAACTGTTGGAAGAATAAGATCATTATAATCTGAATTTATTCTAATATCATCATCTCATGATAATGATGATATTAGATAAAGTTTAAAAGAAGTGACAGAAGATAAAAGAGATTAATCTTACAAGCTTTAAGAAAATGTTATGATAACCTTCAAGAAAAAACATATTCCTTTCGAGCCATGTCTCTGGTATTGCAGGTGATCATGGACGGCGGTACTCACTTACCATCAGGTGAGTCGCATGTTTGTTTGCCCCTGTGTTGTAAAAAAAAATTCTAAAAGAGACCAATGCGCCAAGCACTGATGATTTCTTCTATATATATTTCCAAGAAGAAAAATTATAACACCTACAAAATGACTAAATGTATCTAAATTGTAAGAGAGAACACATAATATTACGTATTACATCGACACTTCATTAGAAAACTTTTGAAACCTCGTATCTACACCCATTAATTCCTTTATAAACTAGTACTTTACTACTACTGTTAGAATAGAAAGCAAGTATATTAGCTTATTAAAGTCCTGATCCTCATTCAGCGTTCATATTAAGTATTTGGTCGGTACAGATCATTAAGTAAATCCAGATTTATAAAATATATTTTACTAAGTCCGCAACATTCATTCTTTTGAAAAGGACTCGTATACCTGAAGGGTATACCGGAGAGCTTTTGCAAATGAATTTAAAATAACAAAGACCCAGGTGTTGTACTGGGTAGTAGCGAAAAACATGAAGTTTTTATGAATATTATGTTATGTATATTACTTAAGAAATGGCATAATGTTAAAATGTTGCTTTAATTAATACATTTTTGTGTATGGAATTTAATTTTATTTAGATCTGTTTTTGTATTTAAATATTAAGGTTACTTCAGTACTTCCAGTTACTTCCAGTAACCTATCTATGTAAGGATAAGTTAGAGAAAGGCTTAATATAATAATATAATTGAACAGGGTAAATAAACAAAATTGCAAGCAATTAATAAACATAATGAATTTATTTTTTAAATATTTAATGAAAGAAGAGACGAAGATAAATTACTGGATAATAGCTACGAGATTATGGAACTTGAATTCATTAAAAAAATTCGTCTTGATAAAAAATCCCAGTACGTATTGATTAACTGTCCAAATAAATTATTTTAATTTTTCTTATTTCTCTTAATCTATTTTTCTTCCTTCATTCTTTCTCAATGAACGTGGAATCTATTAAATTACTTACAGTAACTTCAGGTGGATTGGCATCGACTTGACACATTATATGTGCTCGTTCCTGTTTCGCCACCCCGTGGACTCTTTGCTGGGAACTTCTGCAGGTTGGCGCATCTGTTTAATACGATAATTGTTAACAATAATTTTCTCGTGTAAATATCCGATTTGAGTATTAATATTATTAGAGGTTTGTAATAATCATATGTTTATTTTATTGATATCTTTTAATCCTTCTCAATCCCATATAATACGTGTATACTGCATTTCATGACAATTGCTTAAAGCGTTAAGACAGTAAGAAGTGTTAAGAGATAATAAACAAACAAACAAACCTATTTTACATTCGAAAGATTAGTAAGGATTATAATATTAGTTTGTTTCGGTTTCACACAAAAATTTCTGCATCAAATTGGATGCAGCTTTCCAAGTTGTATTCCTAAAGCTCTAATTTAAAATCTTGTATAAGTTTTATAATTAAAACACAATCTAGAAGTGATGTATTTTATGGTTTTTCCTATTTATGGTAATCACGCGCCCAAATTAGGGGACAAAAGGATAGTATTTAATAAGTATATAATAATAATATATAATAAGGCTTAGTGAAACAATATGAAACAGAGAAGTAACAAATACAAAAACATAAATTACAATGGAGCCTATAATTTTAGAAAAACAATAATTTATGGGTTCAGTGAAATTGTGATAAAAATGTGTGTGCGCGTGCGCGTGCGCGTGCGCGTGTATGTGTATGTGTGGGTGCGGGTGTGAGTGTGTACCGTTGTATGTATGATATATGAATAGGAAATGTATAAATGTATGTATATGTGAGAAAAGATAGATGAGTAGGAGTGTATGTATGTAAATTTAAGAATAAGTAGCATTACGCCTATGGTGTTGTATTATAAGCACAAAAGCAAATCTTCCTAATAAGTTCCTATGTTCACCGTTAATGGCTGATATGATGATGATGATGATGATGATGATGATGATTATGATGATAAATATAATTGTACTTACACAGAACATCTAAAGAGAATGGTTTGCTTTCACCATCCCCTTCTGCGTTGAAGCCAACGCACGTGTAGTTGCCGGCTGTTCTTCTACCAACACCTTGAAGCACCAGAGACTGATTGCTGATGATGACGCCTTGGCCCACGTTGTGAAGGAGAGTCTTGCCCTACGTTATATTATAGGTGATTAATATATCTTAATACAGACTACCTATTATGTAATATTATAACATATATTAATATTTAATTTATCTATTTATTTGTAACGCACATATTATTTACCTACATACATTACATTATACCTACGTTAGTCTTATAATCCTGTATTTCAGCTGTTCGCTAACAACATGCTTTCTCATTGTATTAGGTTGGCTGGAAGAGATCTCTTTCAGAGATTAGTACACCCTTGCTCATAAAATTTATAATTGTCCTATCTATATAATTTACAAGTGCTATCATCGTCTTCCTACCCTTATCCCAATTATTATTTGGGGTCGACGTAATATACTTTTATCCATATTACAAAAAGATTTGGCTTTTAATTTACAAATGCTATAAATAATATTATTAAAATTACAATTGAATCTTACATTATGTCTCCATTCGACTTTGTATACGTAGGGATGTGCATTGATGATGCAGTCGAAGTAAACATCAGTGCCTTCTCTGATATTTTTCGGATCTAAATTCGTTCCTAATCTCACAACAGTCTCTGGAACATCTGTAACAAAATATTTTTGTGAATGTATGCGTAAGTTTATAATTATGAACACACCACATACAGGGTGAAAACGAAGTTATTGATGTTACTCGTATTATAGTCTTCAAGATACAGGTCTAGCCTAGTTTGGGGACTTTTTTTTATACAACTTAGAATGGCAAACAAGCTGACGGCCCACCTGATAGAAAGTGGTACCCGTCGCCTATAGACATGAGCAGTAGCATGGACATAACAGAGTATACTGTTTCGCCCATGATACCCCCCATGCGTTGCCATTCCAGAGCGCTCAGGTGTTATTTCTCTGTACCCAGTAAATTCACGCCATATCCCGCCTTTCAAACCGAAACACAGCCATGCAAACACAACTGCTTCACGGTTGAAACACGAATGGGACAGAGGTACCCAAGCAATCGACTTTTGTACAAAGTCTCCCTCTGGTAATTGTGATGGTAACTAGTAGACTGATGATAATGTAGATATTTTTCTCGTTCAATATAAATTGTAAAAATTGTAAATTGTACTTTATGTAGCTGTATCTCATTTAAATAAAATTATTATTATTATTATTCCTTTTGATGCAAAATTTTTTTAGAATAAATATTTAAAAAAAAAATTATATTCCATAGCAAGTTAAGCTAGCAGAGCACGTCCAGCTCTTAAGTTGATTGTAAAAGGTTGGTTGGTTGGTTCGACGTTAAAAAACTTTTGTTTCTCAAAGAAAAATGTACAAAATCACTAGTAGAATACTTTTCAAGAGAATGCTTACTATTTAGAACTATAGATACGAACTATAGTCGACTACTAATACTATAGAAATAATCGTATTAATACGCAGTACGATAGACTTATATAACTATGAAGATTACAGGAATTGTTAAACTTGCCTACTTCTATACCTATTATATTAATTGCTTGACAATTAAAAGCTTATGGCTAGAATAAACTCGACCAACAGGTCAGACATGCACGTTGTGGTCTCCGCAACCTTTTTCAACTCTTTGTAATACGTAATAAGAACTATTTCTCCATAGCAAATTTCATTGATTTTAATAAATAATTTTCAATCCTTTTATGAACCTATGTTAGCCGTATTTGTCATAAATTTAATGAAGTGTAATAACCTTCCTTCCTATGTATTTCTACTATTATTTCTATGTATTCTATAATAATAGGGTCTTCAAAAGATGTATTTAAATATCATTAGGTCGATATAGCAGTTGTTGAGATATAAGGTTCGTCTAATTCATGAGTTGGGGGAGACAATGGATTGTTAAAAATGGGGATTAGTACCCCCATTGTTAGAAATATACCCTATCAGGCTGACCTCCATGCGGTTCCCCCTGGACAGTATCGTGTTCTATTTAGAGTGAATCCATTACGATAGGCTAACTGACCTGCCTTTTCATTGTCACCTATCTCTCACTGGTGCCCCACCAGTATATACCGATAGTGTAGGCGAGGTTAGCATTCCGTTTCACCCATCAAAAAAGATTCATGGGTTGATCCTATGCATATATTGTATGCCAATATTTGCTAGCATTTAGTACCCCGCAATAGAATCATAAAAGTTAACGAATTCATTGAACTTGTAAACAAGTCTTTTTGAATAAAGATTATTCGAATTTGATGCAACATCAGAAATTTGAGAATTTTTTATAAAATTAAATCTAGTATTTTCTAATATCTTACATTGCACATCCAATGTCCAGTCATCCTCCAATGGTGCAACTGACGGCATCTGAGGGTTTGAGGCTCTACACGCAAGTTTTGCTCCAGTGTCGGCTTTAGTAAGCTGCAGTGACACTGTTGAAGTAGTCGTGTTCCCATCTGTTGATAGCTGTTAAAAGAGAAAAAAAAATATATTAAAAATTTATAAATGTATAGTTATACTGTTTTTAGAAGATTAGCAGAAATGTACATCAAGAATGTTAAAGGAGTGTTTAGTGCGTCCAATTCTTTAATATATGGAGACTATTATATTGAAATGTGATGTTGGAGAAGAATGGAGAAAATTAGCTGGAGAGATCGATTTAGTAATGAGGAAGTCCTGCTTAGGGTTAAGGAAAAGAGACAAATTATAAAAACTATTAAGTACAAAAGGAAAAAAATGTTGGGTCACTTGATACGACACGACGAACTTATGAACATTATAATAGAAGGTAAGATAGAAGGAAGGAGGGAAGAGGGAGACCAAGGCATAGTTACATCAGGCAAATCAAGGAAGGAGTTGGTGTCGTGTCGTATCAAGAGGTGAAGAGACTCGCTGAAAATCATAGTGAGTGGCAAGAGCTCCACCGACAAGAATACAGCTCTTAAATAGGATACATAGATATATTGTTTGTATTCTCTAATAGAATACACAAAAAAAGGAAATATTAACGTGAATTGACACAATGATAAAAATTCACGATTATTTTTTAAATAAAAATTTCAAGATGATTACATAGATACATAGGGTGCAATCGATTAGCATTCTATTAATCATATATATAAGTAGAAATTAAGAAACAAAATAACTGAGCCACCCACAATAACAAGATGCATACAGTTATCAAATATGTATGGGAGACTCTGCATTATTTCCTATTAATAACTCAGATTCTACTCTTTTCACGCAATGTACTTATTTGTAATAAAAAAAAAAGATATAATACATTCATAATACAAACATGATTACCAGTTTGATGAACAAAAACATGATTACAACAAGAAATAAGAAAACAAAACAATGATATCGGATTTCTTCTGAAAACGTTCCGAACGATAATCAAAATACAACAATAATGATTGTTTGAATCAAAACAAATCAGAATTTGTTGACGGTAACTACTTTAGTTTTTCCTTCAAGATAATTTTGACTATTCGTTTCTGTTGTTTCACTTGTCTGAATCGTGTATTTTTCCAATATCTCATTGAATTTGTGATGGATAAATTTATCTTCTCTTCGTATTTAATTTTTTGTAGGTACTAACATAATTCGGTGCTCTTAAATTAGTTTGGCATATTATCAACTTAGTTTAAGACTAGATTAGATTTCTAAGTTTTACCAATTTATCGCACTTTTGTAGAAATTGTATGTTAACAAACTATTTACATAAATGTTCTATTTAACTTTTAAATTGAGTTTCTCAATCATGTAATAATGGTTTGTTTTTATTTATGAAATTTTATATATTAAACGAAACCAGTTTCGTATTAAGTTTGTATAAAGTTTTTAGGTTAATTGTATATACTATATACTAATATAAATAGTTAAGAAATTGTAATTATGTTATTAAATAGTTTTTCTTATAGTTTAATTAGATTCACTTATGTAACAACTGGCGCTTTTGGAGACCCGGCTACACATTTAGCAATTGAGAAATATATTTCAGCGAAAGACATTTGGAGTTCATGAACTTTTAAGAGAGGAGTGATGAGCGATTATAGAGGTATTTTTTATTAGAGATACCTCTTTCAATGTAAGCAGGCGGTTACTTAAACGCAAGTAGTAAATATGTTGATGAAGATAATTGCATATTTAGTTATTTGGATATACAGAAGTGCATAACCGTTATTATTTTGTATATCAACAATAAATGTTTACGAAAATGCTAATTTATTTATTTATCACATTACAAAAAAAAATGTCTGGTACAAAAAGCGGATCTTATCCTATTACATCTGACTTATCCTAGATGATAACTTTTTAAGTTCGTAATTTTAGGTTAATCCAAAAATGATGAAAAATATTTTTTTTAGATTTATATCAAATGTATAAATGGAAATGGTGATACCTCAGTCGAATAATACATTACAGGATTCCAAATAACAAGTGCAAAATTCATAATTTTTGAAGTTCATACATGTATAGATAATTTTAAATATTTAGTTGCAGTTGTATCGCCAAGTCACTAGGAGACCATATATATTTTTATTAATTGTGAAATATGTGTCTGCTTGTTCAGGATCAAAAATCTGAATTAGAATATTTAAGTTTTCAATGTTCAAAACTTTTTACAAATTTTACCATCCCTTTTGAAACATTATTGTGAACGATTTAAAGTACTGTCTCATTTCTCATATCTATTATATATATATATATATATAAACTTTTGGACTTATTAATTGACTACAACTATTATTTGTACATTTAGCTCAATAATAAGTCAGGGGCTTATTGATGAGGACTTACCTATTTGTAATAAATTTTACCAGAGGGAGACTTTGTACAAAAGTCGATTGCTTGGGTACCTCTGTCCCATTCGTGTTTCAACCGTGAAGCAGTTGTGTTTGCATAGCCGTGTTTCGGCTTGAAGGGTGGGATATGGCGTGAATTTACTGGGTACAAAGAAATAACACCTGAGTCCTCAGGAATGGCAACGCATGGGGGGTATCATGGGCGAAAAAGTATACTCTGTTATGTCCATGGTACTGCTTATGTCTATAGGCGACGGTTACCACTTTCCATCAGGTGGGCTGTCAGCTTGTTTACCATTCTAAGTTGTATAAAAAAAAATTAATACCTATACAAACTATTACAGTCTGTTATTACTAAATGAATTTACTTCACCTGAATCAGGATGCAAAGTATCTATTCGGTTCTTGTTAACAAATCTGTGATGAAATATCGCAGTTTCACTACAGACACTGCAATCTTGTTCAAATTGATTTTAATCAAGTCTCGTTAATATTAATTTCTGCGTGGCATGTTAGCGGAACGTTGGCTTTAATTAAATTACATACAACAATCAAACTGACTCGAACGTTTAGCTTATAGTATACCTAACTACCAACGTAGCTTACATATTATATTTTACATTAATGATTGACACGACATATTACGTATTAATCAAATTGAATATTAGATGGTAATAATTTAGCACTCGTAATACACGAATTCCATACATTTCCATTACTCCTTCTTATCCTCAGAATGTCATAAAAGCGACAAGGGGAGAAAAAAATACTATTGCGGAAAAGGAGGAAAACTCGGAATAAAATACTACTCCTATAACAAGAAGCCGGGTCAACGTGGTAATAGTGGACTAATCCTCCTTTTATGGGGCGGGTCCCATGCCCAGCGATGAACCGAGGGACGTTAATTGGTTATTATTCGGATGATGAATACGAGTGTACGTGAAGAATACGTACGTATATGAGATGGTTCGTATCACGGCACAGCTTATATCGAGAGAGTAAATTTTTGGTAAGGTAAATCCACAACATAAATAGTTGTTTATTAAAAGTCATTTACGGATACAACATGGCGGGATCAGAAGGTATTCGGGATTGAAATGGAATGATAGAGCAATTTCATGTCACAAAAAGTATAATTGTATGACTTGAAAAATTGATGGATACTATAGTAATATTTAATCAAAATTCCCAATTCAAATCAATTCCCGTGTGGTCCCGGCATAGAATAGGCCACCCCTTTCATTCCCGTGAGTATTGTAAGAGGCGACTAAGGGATCTAAATGATCGAGGGATGGGCAACAGCGTCTCTCTTAAAACATCTTCAAACTCTAACTGCAGTTGCCAATCCGCCTGCCAAACGTGACAACTACTGGTAAAACCCCTTTAAGGGGAGGCTTGTGTTCAGCAGTGGACAGTTAAAAGCTGAAATAATGATGATTATGATTCAATCGAAAATGAATGTAACTATGGACTACGATGAAAAGGGGGGGAGAAGGGATTGTTAGTAATTGGGATTAGTAGCCCCATTGCTAGCAATATACCCTGTCAGGTCGAGCTCCTGGTGGTTCCCCCTGGAATCTATCGTGATTAATTTATTGTTAGTCTCGTCACGGTGGGCTAACTGACCTACTTCATTCTTACTTATCATCCCACACTGGAGCCCCGCCAGTGTATATCGATGGCACAGGCGGGGTTACCATCCCATTATTATCCATTAAAAAAAAAACTACGATGAAAAGTTTTATATCATCCAGGTATGATAAATGAAACGACAAAGACCTATATGGTTGACAAAGAGATACGGTGCTGACCGCACATAATTTTTATTTATTTAATTTCAATAGGCACACATTACAAAGAATTAATAATTGTACATGAATTTATATGGTATAATAGTGTATTATTCGAGTTAACTCTCCAAAAATATGCGTACACAGCATGATCGAATCATAAATACACAGTTGAATAAATATGTAGGTAAGCATAATATAATTTATGTAGCAAAAATAATTTTACTTGCTTATACCTTTACAACAAAAAACATATATATACATACATATATATACATAAATAAAACCTAAATAATAAAAAATAATACAAAAATAAACTAAGTATTCTGTTATAGCAGTTCTCTATGTTATGGGAAACAAAATAATGGACGTAATAGATTACAATCCGAGCATCTAGACCAGTGTTTCCCAACCTTTTTCGTGCTATGCCTCACTTGAAGATTTCTAAAATGTTTGTGCCCCCATACATAATTTTTTCCGACAAAGTTTACTCGACGACTCTAATCGCCCAGTTGATATTTTGGTAACGTCAAACGAAATTATACCTAATAAATATTAACAACATTTTTTTGTTAAATTTGGCACCGATATCTACATATTGCATTTAAATGGCCTGGTGCAAGAGGGTTAAAATCGCTTCGAATCTATTTCTTAATTGCCCCCCCCCCCCCCTTAACTATCAAATTGCCCTCCTGTGAGGTGTGGGCTCCACGTTGGGAAACACCGATCTAGACCTTCAATTTAAAAAGATTGTTTCCTAAATTGTCATAACTAAGAATTTGGGTCTTCATTTATGTGAAGTAACCTGTCTATCGTTACACGACACAAATCACCTGTAACGAACCTCGTTCATCAACCCAAGATTGGAACCAAATCATGAGTTGACGGACTCTTGTCACTTACGTCAAACATTTACAGCTAAAACTTAGGCAGAGAGTCCCTTACGAGCGATTCGAGTAGGCCCCAAGCACTCGCTGTCCCATTCAATCTACATTTATTACTTTTACGTGCCCTTATTTTAAGTTGACTCCGGGATGTTGTTCTTATAGTAATAAAGATTACGGCGCTCCTATAAATTTAGTTGATGTTAAATTAGCTGGTAATTTCGGAAATTCAGAATCGATGAGGCATAACAATAGCACCATCCATCTGCCTTTTTAAAACGGAGTTTCCAAAGTCGTTTGGACGATTGCGCCCATAAATCTGGATGGCAATTTTGAAAAGATATTAAAGGCAGCTTCAAAATGACCAAGTAAAATGTGTTTATTCAAAAGTCATTTCCAAACGACCTTTTTTAAAATGTTGTTATGTCTTTTGTTTTTAGCCAGATGTTTGCTATTTCAATATTTACCTTTTTATTATTTGATTTTTATTAGTTTTATTTGAGGTTCCGGCATAGAATAGGCCACCCCATCCTTTGCTGTAGGTGTCAAAAGAGTCGTCTACATTACTTATTCGATATCTGTAGTCGACGGCATTTTGCGTAATTTTAAATTGCTTGTAAACATGACTGGAATTGAAGTCCTATTTGTACTAAACTAACTTTTACACGCGACTTTGTTCGGAATTGGGTTATGTTCCCTCACTGGGATAAAAAGTTTATGTGGTCCCGGCATAGAATAGGCCATTCCCGTAGGTGTCAAAAGAGGCGACTAAGGAAGAGCGAGGGATGAGCAGCGGCGTTCCTCTTAAAACATCTCTAAAGCCTAACTGCGATTGCCAATCCGCCTGCCAGGCGTGGCAATTACTGGCAAAACCCCTGAAGGTAGGTTTATGTTCAGGAGTGGACAGTTAAAGGCTGATATGATGACGATGATTATTTGATTGGATTGAATACAACAACCGAATTACTAATAACACGATTACTATTGCTGGTTCCATACATTTTTGGTACTTTGTGGAATTCGAACATATTGTTATAGTACTCATTGCACTTTTTATATTTATAAAGACAATTATTTTATTAAATTCGAACTCACCGTTTCCTTAGCATTATTTATCCTATGACCGTTCTTCCACCACGTGATGGAAGCTGGGGGTCTGGACCCTGAACTCTGGCATAGAAGGTCATATCTTCTGCTCGCTGATATAGGCTGGTCTGAACCCACCATGTGTACAGTTAATGGCGGAACTGGAACAAAGAGAAATATGTTAGTTTTTAAATAGTGAATGTTTATAAATTAAATAGTTTATAACGTTTCAAAAACTATGTATATTAATATCTTTTAGGTAAAAGGAAGTGGTTCTCAAAGTTTGTATTATTGTGAATATAAATACAGTATAATGTTCAGAGATGGGCAGCTGCGATTCTCTTTAAACATCACCAAAGCTTAAATTCGGTTACTAATCCGTTTGCCAAGCGTGGCAACTACTGGAAAAGCCTCTTTTATGGAAGAGGCCTATGTTCAACAGCGGACAGTTACTAGCTGATATGATGATGATGATGTAACTCAGCATTATGCAAAAACTTCGCCAATTCTGAACCGATTTTGATAATTCTTTTTATAACTGTCACTGGAGTGATTTTTTATTTTATCTATTACAAACAAATCTTTCCTCTTTATAGTCTCTAAATATATTACCTATTCCCAATCTGTATATACTTGAAGCCCATATTTGTTAAATTAAATAATCACATGTTTGACAAAAGAGCAAATACAAAGCAGCGCAAGATACCCTAAAAAACTAGTTAGTATAATTAAATATTAAATTCCTATATGATGCGTTTAAAAATCTTTAATAATATTCCTATGGACATAAAGGAATTTCCATTAAATAAATTTATAATTGTATTACGTAAATGGTTACTTAGCAAAAGCTTTTACTCTGTAGACAAATTTAAAAAAAAAAGAATAGATAAATATCTAATATAGTTGTCGATGCATAAATTAATCAGTTCCTATCGAAATGGGACAGTTGCATGCTATACTGTAACGGCGAAATAGGCATGAAGCTTTATGTAACATAAGACCACTGATACCTACCCTATTTTAAGTAAATAAATTTATTATTATTATATCTGCTTGGCTAAAATTGCATTTAGTATGGGCAGTAATAAAAAAATAAGAAAAAATAAGTATTAAAAAATGCTTAAATCTAATTTTACTTGAAAAAGAATCTAATTTTTCTCATGTCTATAAACGGCTACCACTTTCCATCAGGCGGGCCGTCAGCTTGTTTGACATTCTAAGTTGCATAAAAAAAATATTTCTTTCCTTTTTCTTCTTTTTAGGTATATTATATTAGTAAAGATAGATAGATAGATACTCTTTATTGTTTCCTCCAAAAGATTACAATAGTAAACTTATTATAAATATGAACAATTACAAGAAATAATCACAATGAGAAAACAATGGGCGACCTTATCGCTAAAAGCGATCTCTTCCAGGCAACCTTTGGATGGAGAGAAGTAATTATAAACAGGTAGGTAGTGTTTTATTATTCTTAGTTTCAAGTAAAGCGAAGACGAGCATAAGCACGTTCTAAGTCAGACATCAAAGTGACCACAGCACATGTAGTATGAAGTTTAATGGTTCACAAATTTCAAGTTCTGCCTGCGCCAGCAGGCGGTTACAGTTGACGAGCTCTAACCGGCATCCGAAGTCGTCAAAGACCTGTAGTTACTACATACCACTTAGTATCTTGTTTGATAAGAGCTTTGCAAGCAAATTTTGGTAATAATGTAGCGGTACTGAAGATTCAAATTCGATTGTCAGTAGAGTTACACAATCAGTTTAAATTAGTTTTTTATTGGTTAAAATTATTTTGTCTTATTCCGCTACTGTTTATGTTCTATCAGCCTTTAACTGTCCACCGCTGAACATAAGCCTCCTCTTTTAGGGTTTGCCAGACGTGGTCACGCTTGACAGGCGGATTGGCAACCGCAGTTAGTCTTTGGAAATGTTTTAAGAAGAACGCTGCTGCCCATCCCTCGCCCTCCCTTAGTCGCCTCTTAACTCCCACAGGAAAGAAAGGGGTGGCCTATTCTATGCCGGGATCACATGATATATTTATGTACTAGTATGTATTATTCGTGTAAATAATTTAATTAATATGTATTATTAGCCGTGTAGTCCCAGAATATAATAGACTATCCCTACCTTTCCCGTGGGTGTCGTAAGAGGCAAATAAGGGAGCTCATAAGCTCCCTTATTTGTCTCTTACGACACCCATGACCATAGTCGAGGGATGGGCAACAGCGTCCTTCTTAAAGCATCAACAAAACACAAACTGCTGTTGCCAACCTATAAAGGTTGACATAAGTCAAGCATAGCAACTACTAGCAAAACTGACTGACTGCTGAACATAGCCTCCCCCACAAGGATATGGGGGAGGCTATGTTCAGCAGCGGACAGATAATTTATTTATTTATTTATAGCAAGGCAACAGATTACAAATTAATACATTTATAAAATAAATATTACATAAAACGGCATTAAATTTGCACTCCAATAACTGCTCTGCATAACATTCGATATTATATACATTAAAAGAATGACGGCTATAAATTTAAAGTAACAAATTGGCAGCCTTAATGTAACATTGCAAGGATTGTTGGAAGATATCAAGGTCCTTGCATACATTGTTATATTTTCTGCACATGCGGATAATTGGATTGTGATACGATACATTATTATTACAAATCGGTATATAAAATAATTGTTGTATTCTTTTATTACCTGTACGAAATGAAACAAGGCTCAACAATGTGCTACTGTCCCATTTATAGTTTATTATTTTATAAAGAGTAATGAAATCAGACATAGATCTTCTATTTATAAGAGAATTAATGTTAAAGTGATTAAGTCTTAATTCATACGAATGAAGTTTCCTTATAAGGAAATTCCTATATAATGGCTGACATGATGATGATAATATGGTTTAATTGCTTTGATTAGGTTTTATTATCATCTTTCTACCCTTATCCCAATTATTATTCGGGGTTGGCGTAATATGTTTTTATCTATATTACAAAAATATTTGGATTTTATTTTTACGACCGGCAGCCTGTCTGACGTTAACTCTCCATAGGTATCTTTGGCTAGGTTATATTCTAACTTAATATATAGAAGGCTTTATGTACTTATATATTCACACGAGCAAAGCCACGGAAAACAGCTAGTTTTAAATAACGCGTACTTACAATTCATATCCAAGGTGAGCGTGGTTTCAATAGGATGAGCCCGTGGGTGGTTGGACGCTCTGCAAGTGAGGGCTGCTCGGACGTCGGCCCTCGTCAGCGGACCCACCCTGATGACGCCCCGGACGCCGTTCCCGGACAACGGCGTCGACGGAGTGTCCGTTTCTACTTCATCTCTGAACCACTTCACCCATGGCCTGGGACGACCTGTATTTAAATTAGGTATGGATTTATCTAACTGCATTAATATATGGAAGTAATCTATGGTATACTGATGTAAAAGGATTGTTAATAATAGAGTCTAACAGCATCATAACTAGCAATATATTTTATCAGGTCGACCTCCACAAGGTTCCCAATGGAAACCATCCTGATTAATTCTTATTAAATTCGTTATGATAGGGAAACTGTCTTCACATGTATGCTCACCTTTCACTGGTGCCCCGCTAGGGTATTCCGATAGTATAGATGGGGTTACCATTTTACAGATATTTTCTCCTATTAAAAAAATATATAACAAAATAGGAGAGTTTGTTTTATATGTTCATTTATATGCGGTAGCCACTGGAATTACCAGAGGGAGACTTTGTACAAAAGTCAATTGCTTGGGTACCTCTGTCCCATTCGTGTTCTACCGTAAAGTAGTTCTGTTTGCATGGCTGTGTTTCGGCTTGAAGAGTGGGATATGGCGTGAATTTACAGGGTACAGAGGAATAACACCTGAGTCCTCAGGAATGGCAACGCATGGGGAGTATCATGGGCGAAACAGTATACTCTGTTATGTCCATGGTACTGCTCATGTCTATAGGCGACGATTACCACTTTCCATCAGGTGGGCCGTCAGCTTGTTTGCCATTCTAAGTTGTATAAAAAAAAATTAACAGTTGAATTTGAAACATTCTTCATGCTATTGACAGTTTATATTTTGAGGAAGGTTATAGAGCATCACGATATTACTACGGGAGACGCCGCGAGATGCGTCTAGTTTTTATGCACATTGGAAGATTGGACTACAAGCTAAGAGTTTATTTAATGGAAAATGGTAACCGTTGTCTGTAGACACAAACAGAATATCGTAGAATACCTACACTGTGGTGCGTCTTTCATGCATTGCCATGTCTGAGGGTTTTTTTTTAATTGATGATAATGGAATGGTAACCCCACCCGCGCTATCGGTGTACACCGACGGGGCACCAGTGAAAAATGATAGGTGAGGAGATGAAGCAGGCCAGTTAGCCCATCGTGACAAATTCAACAAGAATTGTTCACGATGGTTTCCAGGGGGAACCACGTGGAGGTCGACCTGATAGGGCATATTGCTAGCAATGGGGCTGTCAAACTCCATTACTAACAATCCCTTTCCCCCCCATGTCTGAGGGTTAAGGTGATATATCTCAATACTCTGTAATGTTACTGCCATGTTCCGAATAGAAACATGATGATGATGACATCAGCTGTGAATTGTCCACTGCTGAACGTAGGCCTTCCTATTGTGGAATCATGCTAGTGGTTGCCATACTTGACAAGCAGGTTGGCAACTGCAGTTAAGCTCAGATGGTGTTTTGAGAGAGATGCTCCTGCCTATCCCTCGACCATTCAATAAAAACGTAGCTAGATAGATAGATACTCTTTATTATTTCCCTCAAAAGATTACAATAGTAAACTTATTATAATTATAAATAATTACAAGAAATAATCACAGTGAGAAAACAATGGGCGACTTTATCGCTAAAAGCGATCTCTTCCAGCCAACCTTTGGATGGAGAGGAGTAATTATAAACAGTTTGATTGGAGACACGATGAAAACCCTATTATTTCTAAATTCCATATTTACATAGTCATCAAATAAAATTTCCCAACGTAAAAAAAAAAATAACGCTGTTCGTTAATTTATAATCAAAGGAGTTTTAAAAGAGTTTTATCCATAAGAATAAATAAAACTGGGAGAAACGACACTCGTGTATTTTCCTTTGTGAGTGCACTGACGCCGATAAAATGTACTCCACTTTCTTTCACTCAACTAGGGTTGTCACAAATTTATACTGATTTAATAAATTATTTTGTCATTTACAAGTAACACAAGATTTTGTTGCACAAAATAAACACTGATATCAATCATAGCTAAACCAATTATATTGATTTAAAAATCAGATCACTAAACCGATTTTGGTGAATTTTCTATGAAACCAATCTGAAAGTATTTAAGCCCCGGAAAACTTTTTCGAGGCAAAGCCGAACATGACCAAATTTGATACTTTTCTAAAAATTTAAATTAAACTTCCAAATAAAAAATAATTATTCAAATCTGTTTATAAACGACGGAGTTATGAGAGATAACATAAAAAAAAATACAAGCTAATTGAGAACGTTCTTCTTTTTCAATCGATTGATAAAGCTATTATTAGTAAACCGTTTATTCCTATGGATTATTGATTTATACACATGTGGAACTCGATTCATTTTGAACACAATGCTTTACATATTTATTTTTTTTATTTATTTATTAGAACAATCAACAAGACATCCACTATGATCACATTTTATATTTCCAGCAAATAGTTCGAGTACATAGTGTTGGTTTAATTTCTGGTTATTTACTGGTACATGGCATGCATTATTTATTTAGAAGAAAAGGAATAATTTATTTATTTTAACCAAAATATATTTTTTTTATACAACTTAGAATGGCAAACAAGCTGACGGCCCACCTGATGGAAAGTGGTAACCGTCGCCTATAGACATGAGCAGTACCATGGACATTACAGAGTATAATATAAAAATATGACGTGCATGAATATACAGGTATGCTTGATAATTACTTATTTCATAATAAAGGGATTGATTATTTATTTCCTTATTTTTACAACACAGGAGGCAAACGTGCATGCGGTTCACTTGGCGGTAAGTGACTACCGCCGCCCATGATCACCAACAACACCAGAGGCGTTGCAGGCGTTGTGTTGTCGGCCTTTTAAAAAGGAATATGCTCTTTTCTTGAAGGTTACGATGTCGTATCGGTTCGGAAATTTTTTAAAGACGATTAATTTAAAACTCTTTCCTATTAAAATGTTCTAAACGAACAGCAGACATAAATGTATCGAGTTTTACAAATATGTACATATATGAATTTTTTGCCATAACATACATAGAAATTTATAACTATCGCCTCTGGATATAACACCACAGAATCCGTGCCTATTTCACAATCCTCGTGGCAGTAAGCTGATGTCTCTGTATCCAGTAATTTCACTTTCTGTTTCGAAAATTGTAAAATGCAATATTTTATTAGGACATTTCAGTCCTAATTAGATTTATCGTGACAGATATACGTTAGATACACAAATTAGGTTACATACAGACCGACCGCGGTACGTTTTCCACCGTAATAAATTCAGTCTGGTGAAAATTAATTAATTTCTCTCTCACGATACATAATTCGTCGAATGCCATTTTGAATTTAAAACAGGATGAGAAGGGTTCACGACGAGTTTTTACAGTACAATTTCCGTGTCAATGTACTTATGTGCGTACGTAATGAGGGTGTTAAATATATTAATTTATGGGCTCCAACTTCGTTTTCGTTTGCCGACACTTTTAATTTTTAGAAAAGTATCAATTTTGATCATGCTCGGCTTTGCCTCGAAAAAGTTTTCCGGGGCTTAAAAGTTTGAGTCTAATTTATTTTCTAATTATGAATTTTCCCTGTTTAATCAATAAAGTGGAATATTTTTTAATTTAAGGCAAGGTAACATTAATTGTAACGGGATTTAAAGGCTTAATTACATGGGAATTAAATTATTTATATTTATTTATTTATTATACACAAGAAATATACAAGATGAATACACTGGACCTCGCACTAGGCGAACCTATGTCACGGGAGTCCATAAGGGATTACCATGACACAGTGTTTTACAAATATAGATCACTGAGCCGATTTTACTTTAATTTGTATGTACATGGTGGACTTCAAATCGGATGTTCTCTACAAGTTAACCATTGGACAAATGAAGCATTAAAAAAATAAGGGAATATTATTATAAATTATTCATATATTATTCATATATAATAGATTAATAACTGGAGAAAGCTAATGAGGTTTATTTGAATCGAAGCATTTGGCGTTCCATTGTTTCTGCCTACCCTAATGGGAGACAGGCGTAACCGATATATATGTATCTAATACAATACATATATTTATATATAATAAAATTAATTAAAAACTTACCTCCCGAAACGTCACACTTGAGTGTGAACGTATCTCCTTCCACATAAGGCCCCACTATGGCTTGCTTCACATCGCCTCTGTCATCGATGATTACCATCTTGCTGGGTGGTACTGTGAACAAAACATGTAATTTAATATGTACCTATAAGTAAGATTATAATTTACAAGATGGCGATTAAAAATTGCTGGCTAGTAGGTTTATTTTTTATTACATAAAAAAGGAAAAGTAAAACAAATGGTTAAAACAAAAAGAATACTATATTAGGAAAGTTATAATTATATATATGTTTTTATATAAATAGGAATGTATTTATATATTTTTATATAGAATACCTGGAAGAGATCGCTTTTATATTTAGCGATATTATCGCCTATTATTTTTTCAGTGTGATCATTTCTTTTATTGGTATGTGTCTATAATAAGTTCTAATATAGAACTTATGTCTATAATCGCCGTGTGGTCCCGGCATAGAATGGGCCTCCCCTTTCCCTTGGGTATCGTAAAAAGCGACTTAGGGAACTTAATGGTCAAGGGATAGGCTGCAACGTCCCTCTTAATACATCTCTAAAAGCCTAACTGCGGTTATCAACCCGCCCTCGGCCTCTCTCAGTCGCCTCTTACGACACCCACGGGAAAGGAAGGGGTGGCCCATTCTATGCTGGGGCACACATGGCGGCTTATTCTAAGTTTATATAAACGAATTTAGTGTTATATTAACTAAAAACGCATTGCCCACTAATGTTTCTGATTACCCCATCCAGGGATTCCAGTCGTTAGTATATTTATTTTATTATTAAACTACTAAATATGATAAAATACTTCATCGTTTTATCTATTTTATTAAGCAAAGTATGGTCAAACGAATTATAGGTAAAAAAGAAATAAAATTTTATACAGTTATTATCATTTAACGAATCGGCTAATTTTATTCATAGCGAATGAATATAGATAAAAATCCACTCAAATTACCCTTCCCTGATTTTGCTGATCGAAATGATAATAGCAAACCCCGGCTGTATCAGGGCTATTGGTAATGAGCTCCGTGTAATTTCATGGGTTTTTGTACTTATTAATTTCTCTGAAGCCTCATTCTAATTCCTCTGAACGTGGAACTATACTTTAAACGAGGTTTCTTTTAAAATTATTAATAAATGTTGTACATTTTTTGCATAGATTTTATTTATTCATTATTTAATTATTATTTTTTATGCAACTTAGAATGGCAAACAAGCTGAAGGCTCACCTGATGGAAAATGTAACCGTCGCCTATAGACATGAGCAGTACCATGGACATAACAGAGTATACTGTTTCGCCAATGGTACCCCCCTACGTTGCCATTCCCGAGGACCAAGGTGTTTTTTTTTAATGGATGATAATGGAACGCTAACCCCACCCGTGCTATCGGTATACACTGGCGGGGCACCAGTGAAGGATGATGTTCACGATGGTTTCCAGGGGGAACCACATTATATTCTATTCTATTGTATAATATGAAAATACAGTATACTCATTTATTTATTTATTTATTTATTCATTCATTCAATTATCCAAATCCGTTTATAACTGACAGAGTTATGAGGTAACAAATATAAAAAAAAAATACAATCAAATGGAGAATCTCCTTCAATTCGAAGTCGACTGAAAACGAAACGTTTATCGATTTACCCAATACATATAAAATGTTTACTGATACAACCGTCGTTTAATTCGAAAAGAAAAATAATAATACGTTCATGAGAAATTACGTAGCGTCTCATAATAAATTGCCAAAGTCTGTCCCGAAAAAAGATTAAAAGCCTACATAAAAGTACTGTTCGTAAAAAGGCTTATTATGGACAAGATGAGTTCATAAATGATAAAGATGGTCTAGTCTAGTCATAAATTAAACATGAAACGTTCTAGGGACTCTATTATTCTATAGAACTACAATATAATACTAATGTATTGAATTTATTCCATAAAATAGACATAGTCACTTCTTCTATTCTATTAATATCTTTATAGTTTACTATAACTCTTGAACGATCATTTTCAATTATTAATAAGTGATTCATATAAGTTAGTTAATTGTACATATTTAGAAGAAGAAGAAGAAAGAAACTTTATTCTACAGAAATGTGCGACTACATCCACACAGGGGTTAAAAAAAATATATTAAGAATTATAACAACGAAACTACACACAATATTTATATATAAAAAAAGAATATAAAATAAAAAAAAGGAAAAAAAACCAATTCGTATAATAACAGTTTCATCCAAAATTATTGCCATGTGGTCCCGGTATAGAATAGGCCATCCCTTCCTTTCCCTACCTTTAACTGTCCACTTCTGAACATAAGCCTTCCTCTTGGGGAGTTTTACCAATAGTTGCCATACTTGGCAGGCGGATTGGCAACCCCAGTTAGGCTTTAGAGATGTTTTATGAGTGACGCTGCTGCCCATCCCTCGCCATCTCTTAGTCGATTCTTACGACACCTACGGGATAGAAAGGGATGGCCTATTCTATGCCCGGACCACACGGCCAATTGCAATGTATTAAATAGCAACAAATTGTGTTTGTAGTAACTTTAAGTAACTAACACACAGCTTTGTTCGTGTAAACTAAAATCATTTCATCATAGTCGTAGAATACTGACGGATCTTTATATGTAATATTCGTCAGATCCGTCAGTATTCTACGACTATGACGATTTGTTTACGTAGAATGTCAGCCATAGATCATATAGTATGAAAGTCGATGTATCTTAATGTAAAAATTTGGATATTTTTTTTTATATTAGTATAGACTGAAAAACAACTATGTAGATACATATATATGAACGGTCATCTTCTGATAGCTATGTTGGTATGATAACAATGGCAAAAGGATGTAATAGGAAAGGGAGAAATGCGAAAACGAAAGCTTACGTTTAACAGGTATTTTAGTTGTATGAAACGGGCCCTCCAAAGGCTTGGCTACTTTAATTAAAACCTTCTCCTCATAAAATTCGGTTGTTGTTGACGCAAAGTCGATACAAGATATTGAAAACCTTTTAGAAATCGAGATTGTAGGAATGGGATATTAAACGAAATTAATTTGAAAGTCATCATATTGAATTTTGGAGCAAAACCCAACAAGGGCTTAGCAAATTTAATGGGTATATTGGTAAGTTCAAGGAGATATTGGGGATCGATTGGATTCCACTTGGAAAAGTTTTTTATGTAAATTTTAGTATAACGAAGTATTAGAGGCCAAGTTAAAAGTATACACTGTCAACGGGTTTAAATGACTAGATTCATCCAACTAAAAATGGAATATTTTCTGAGACAGGAAGCAGTCTGAAGTTGGTAGATTACTTTAGGATGTCGTAAATGGAGGCTAGGGAATAAATACACTAGGATAAGACAAAAGTCCTTACTAACATTATAAACGTAAAAACGAGTTTGTTTATTTGCTTGTTTAACAACATAAGCAATTACTATGAAATTTGGTATACTAGTAGAATGAAGAAGGACATAGGAAACTTTTATCCTGATCAGTGAATATATATCCTGGTAGTGGGAACGAACGGATAAAAGTTAAAAATAAATCTCCATAACAACTCGTTTGACTAGCACGAAAAAAGTAGGCTAGTATACTTCATTTAAAAAGATAAATGGAGGTACCAAAAGTTAAGAATAAAGAAGAATAGTAAAATGTAACTAAAATATATGCTCAGTTTTTCTGTAGTGCAATGCTTCTAAAAAGTAAAGAAGGTTTTACCATTTGACTGTGGAACCCGAGAATTTATATTGTACACATAAATACTACCTATCTAGATCATAAGCAATAGCAATATTGGTCCGCTTTTTCAACCAACGAAAAACAAAGGAGCCTATCTTATAGGTCCTTGTTTCTGATAACTAAAGGGACAAGATACTTCTTTGACGATAAACTTGTACAAAGGCTTCAGGCCGTAGAATAAATATTATGGAACGTGCCAACTCGACTTTTGTATCGCTATCTTCATTTTACACGTGCGTGCCGAATTAATATAAACTGTAATAATTTGTTAACCGAGTTTCTGCTCGAACAAATTGGAATAGAAACTTGAGTGCAAAAACAGACCTGGCAGAGAAATTTCGCCGGGTTTTGGATTAAAAATAACAAATACCGCCGAGAGAGTTTAAAATATGAAAATTAAATTGTATATTTTTATTACTCTTTATACAACAAATTTAATTATGATGCGCCTTTTGTGCAGTGTTTGTGGAATAAATCTCATTTTTATGTTATTTTTATTTTATAATACAGAAGTTATTTTGCCGTGTAGCTCCGGCATAGAATGGGCTATCCCTTCCTTTCCCGTGGGTGTCGTAAAAGACGGCTTAGGGAACTTACTTATAATAGCCGAGGGATGAGTAGCAGCGTCCCTTTTAAAACATCATCAAACGCCAAACTGCGGTTGCCAGCTCACCTGTCAAGCGTGGCAACGATTAGCAAAATCTCCCCAATGGTAAACTGTGATAAGTAACGATCCCGTTCCTTACGGCAGTCTACAGGAGAGACCCAAGTTCATCAGTGGATACATCATGACTGATATCGTGATCAGAAGGTGGATACAGAAATTATTTCGATGATTGTAGTCTCAGACCAGTCATGTTTACCGAATGTCGGTTGATGCGGATCTCTTAGTATGTGTATATTTATTAGAAGTTCACGCGAATTACGTATCGTTTTTCATGAGCATATTCCCATTGCATCTCGATGCTATTTCCTTCATATTATCTATTCCACACGTTTATTTTAAAGTAAAATATAGCCCATGTTACTCCCAAATAATATAGTATTCTATAAGTGAAAGGATTTTGAAAATCCGCTAACTTTTTGACTTTGTCCATTACAATTAAATCTTGCCTCTTTATAATATTAATTTAAATAGGGGACAGTTGTATTTTTTTGCCTTTTGTCCGTTGTCTTATTTGCTATTACGAGCAGAATAAAAAAATGCTCTTAATGTCGCTCTTAAAGGATCTTACATAATATTATGCCATAAATTATTCTTTATAAATCGCTATTACTCCAATAAGGAAATTGCGAAACATCAAATGAATTGTATCCAACCAATTATGATTTTATGTTCATAGTTGATTTTATTGCTTTTTTTTTTCACTATTTCAATTTTATATTCCTTTTTATATGGATAGATAATTTATTTGCATCACTTACAGCACACAAACAGCAAAAGATACAAAAGCAAAGTGAAAAAACATAAAAAAAAGATACATGTACAAAAGATAAAAAAAAAAATCAAAAATAAAATCAGAATGCATAAAATTAGTAAAAACTCTTTTCTTCATGTGTGTGCCACAGTAATACAAAACGGCCACAATTCAGCTTTTTGCTTTGCCCTAAAAAGAGCAAAACACTGATATTAATACCCGCTTACTGTGTACTTTTTATTATAACACATTATGATTTGTCAATCTTTGTCGGGTGCCCACGATACAGGCTCGCCTAGTGTGGGGCCCATTGTATCTTGTGTTTGTAACTTTGTGTTTTTGTAATAAATTTTTATTTCTATTCTATTGCAGTTTATAAAAGTGGGTAATTTTTTTTTTACAACACAGGGGGCAAACGAGCATGCGGCTCACCTGATGGTAAGTGACTACCGCCGCCCATGATCAGCCACAACACCAGCGGCATTGCAGGTATGCTTCTGGCCTTTTAAAAAAGAATATACTCTTTTCTTGAAGGTTATGTTGTCGTATCGGTTCGGAAATATTGCTACTGGAATTTAATTCCAAGGAATGAATTTCTGTAGATATTTTGTGATATATGAAAATATCATTTCATAATCATGATAATCATCGTCATCCTTATAATGACCGACTAGAACCTTCTTCTGGGCATGGTTCTCAGCTCATGAAAGGAAAATACTAGCTTACTTCTCGTTATGTATTTTGTTTTATTTAAATTAAAGTTTTTTATAATTTTGTTTATAATTATTCTCACTTTTTAAGGTTCCGTACCTACAAAGGAAAAAACGGAATCCTTACTGGATCACTTCGTTGTCCGTCCGTCCGCTTGTCAAGACCTTTTTTCTTAGGAATGTGTGAAGGTATCAAGTTGAAATTAATATCATAGAGTCAGATCTGCAATCTCTTAAAGAAGTGAAAAAATCAAGTTTCTAAATCGACACAATCAAAAGAAACGGTCGTTTGTGTTCCATTTATATTGCATATTTTGACATTCTTAAAGGGAATCAAAACCTATAGGGTTGATCTAGAATCATGAAATTTGGCAAGAAGCAATGTCGTGTAGCACAAGTAAAGGAAAAAATCCGAATACTGCAAATTTGTAGCAGTGTCACAAAAAAATAAAAAACTTTTTGATTTTGTACGGAACCCTCGTTGCGCGAGTTACACTCGCATTTGACCGGCTTTTATATTAAATAGTAACAGTACTCTTATGTATTACACTAGAACGTTATTAATTATACCCGATATATATAAATATAAACCCATAATTGTATATGATATTAAACGTATTCACTATTCATAAAAGAAAGCCTAATAAAAATTACGACGCGACAATTTATTTATTTATTTATTTTACACTTTATTGCACCAAGTAAAAAGAGAAATAACAAATATAGTAAATATTAATGAGAAGTGATACAAAAGGCGGACTTATCGCTAAGCAATCTCTTCCACACAACCTTTGGGTACATTGAGAAAAAGAAATTTTTTTTAAAACAATTTCATTAATGTAATAACATTGCATAATGAATAATTTTGCACTGTGAGAGCAACAATTACCGCTCCCGACATTACCGTTTATAACAAATGTATCCCTATTTTATGGCTTCAAGTGTACAGTAATAAAGGCTCCTTTGTGTTCGGTCCAAGAGTCATACACTTTGTGCATCTAGCTTTGTGTAATCTAATTCACTGCAATGCATTTCTACATCTGAAGATATGCGAGAGGATTGTCCGTTACAGTATGTTGGTATTATATTTATAAGATATATATTTTATATATAATATAAGTATGTATTAATAGAAAATGGTAGTTATTATTATTATTATTATTTCAGCCATAAACTGTCCACTGCTGAACATAAAGTTTGCCAGTAGTTGCCAAACGTGGTAAACGGGTTGGCAACCGCAGTTAGGTTTTTAGAGATTATTTAAAAGGGACGCTGCTACCCATCCCTCGCCTTCCCTTAGTCAATTCTTACGACACCCACGGGAAAGGATGCCACTCCATCCTTCGTCGCCATAAGAAACGGAATTAATTAAGAAACGGTTCCTTATGGCAGTATACAATTTTGGATTTGCCAGTAGCTGCCACGTTTGGTAGGCTAGTAGGCAACCATAGTTAGTTTTGGTGATGTTTGAAGAGCGACGCTGCTACCCATCCCTCGCCTTCTCTTAGTCAACTCTTACGACACCCACGGGAAAGGATGCCACTCCATCCTTCGTCGCCATAAGAAACGGAATTAATTAAGAAACGGTTCCTTATGGCAGTATACAATTTTGGATTTGCCAGTAGCTGCCACGTTTGGTAGGCTAGTAGGCAACCATAGTTAGTTTTGGTGATGTTTGAAGAGCGACGCTGCTACCCATCCCTCGCCTTCTCTTAGTCAACTCTTACGACACCCACGGGAAAGGATGCCACTCCATCCTTCGTCGCCATAAGAAACGGAATTAATTAAGAAACGGTTCCTTATGGCAGTATACAATTTTGGATTTGCCAGTAGCTGCCACGTTTGGTAGGCTAGTAGGCAACCATAGTTAGTTTTGGTGATGTTTGAAGAGCGACGCTGCTACCCATCCCTCGCCTTCTCTTAGTCAACTCTTACGACACCCACGGGAAAGGATGCCACTCCATCCTTCGTCGCCATAAGAAACGGAATTAATTAAGAAACGGTTCCTTATGGCAGTATACAATTTTGGATTTGCCAGTAGCTGCCACGTTTGGTAGGCTAGTAGGCAACCATAGTTAGTTTTGGTGATGTTTGAAGAGCGACGCTGCTGCCCATCCCTCGCCTTCTCTTAGTCAACTCTTACGACACCCACGGGAAAGGATGCCACTCCATCCTTCGTCGCCATAAGAAACGGAATTAATTAAGAAACGGTTCCTTATGGCAGTATACAATTTTGGATTTGCCAGTAGCTGCCACGTTTGGTAGGCTAGTAGGCAACCATAGTTAGTTTTGGTGATGTTTGAAGAGCGATGCTGCTGCCCATTCCTCGACTGTTAAGTTTCCTTAGCTGCTTCTTACGACACTTGCGGGAAAGAAAGAGAGAGAAGCTACTATTGTTTACGAATTGTTCTAAATATGAAAACAAATTATATTATAGAAGGCTATATAATAAAACGGATTATATTGTATAACTAACGTCAAATTGTTTTTTTTTTCTGGCGGTTTTTTTTTCTGAACACCATGTATATGAAATTAATAACTGGCGCGAAAATTGAATAGCTCCTAATAAGCGCCGCTTGTATTTTACTAAGCGGATTTGTTCGCGCCTTTCACTCACATGTTAATTTTTCTCCAATTGGAAAGCGAAGCGGGATTACACAATTTTGTTTTATCCGAACAACAATTTTATTGAATTTTGCATTTTATAACCAATAAAATAAGGTTATTGATTGTTCGCGGAAATGTATTACGGGATCTGTTTGGTTACGGTGTTATTTATTTTGCGCTTTTTTTATTTGATAAATGAAATAGTTTTAATTTTACGTTTTGATAGAATAGTCAATTTAAAATTATTTGGTTTTAGTTCAAGTTACTAGTTCATATAAATGCGTTTTAGTAATAATTGTTTTTAACCGACTTTAAAAAGAGGGAGGTTCTCCATTCGGTTGTAATTTTTTATATTTGTTACTTGATAACTTCGTCAATTGTAAAACGATTTGGAAATACATCTAATAAATAATTCTTAGAATTTACGATACAATTCAAATGAAATATTCGTCACATTATCTAATTATATACCTATAGTTTAAAAAAATGAAATATAATATTTACACGTACACACGCACACGCACACGCATTCATACATACACACACTCACACACGTACGCATTCATGCACCTACTAATACGTACTCGCGGGGGGAAAGGAATTGTTAGTAATGGAGTCTGAGAATCGCATTGCTAGCAATATACCCAACCAGGTCGACCTCCTCGCGGTTCCCCCTGGAAACTATCATGGTTAATTCCTGATGAATCATCATGATGGGCTAACTGGCCTGTTTTCATTCTCATCGATCACCCTTCACTGGTGCACCGCTAGCGTATCCCGTTAGCGCAGGCGGGGTTACCATACCATTTTCACATATCAAAAAAAAACACGCACTAGCTCACCTTTCACTCGCCCTCTCACCCATACTAGTACATACACGTAGATTATAAAAATTTTCTAATTCCATTTATTAACTTGTATGATGTCCTTGAGTTTGGAGCCTGGTGATCTGTAAGACGGGTAATCCTAGTACCGCCACCAGTATCTCACAAAGATTGTTTTAAATTGTAACCTATATGCTGTAAATTTTATTATGTTGTTATTTTTGTGAGAGAAATGAATATATATTTTACTTTACTTATTTATTTAACTTCATGTACATAATAAAGGTACACATGGCGGACATAGCGCTTCAGCTGCCCGCTAACGACATGCTTTCTAATTGTATTGGGTTGACTAGAAGAGATCTCTATCAGAGATAAGTCCACTCTTGTTCACAACATTTATAAATGCAGGACAAAGAGAGAACATGATAGCGGTTGTTGACTTTTAAGTAAATATAATATTTTAAAACGTATTTGTTTTACTATTGCAAACTATATTCTCAAAGAGAATAAATGATTGAATGAATAAACATTTATTTGCCTACAAATATAATTATTAATGGAACTATAAGCGTTTGCTAATTATTTAATTGCCGGATCATGTATGTGCTTAATTTATTTAGGTCCATACACGATCCGGCCGTTGAGTTTCAGATAAATAAGTTAATCGGATTACTTACCAATTACGGTGAGGTTAACTCTTGAATTTCTCGTCTGGGCCTGTTTGAAGTCCACCCGACATCTGTACACTCCCTGGTCCGATGCCTTCACCCTGTCCACGCCTAGTTCTGCTGGCTTTCTCTCAGGCAGGAAGTAGGCTCTTGATGCGAAAACGCTCTCGTCTGACCAGCGTTCAGCTACTCCAAAGTCTCGTTCTCTCGCGTCTACACTGTGTACAAAATTATAATCTCTGTATAGAAAGAAATACTTTTATTCAAGTTAACTTAGAATTAAGCATTTTTTAATAATCATTTTTTCATTATTTTAACCTACCTACAATATAATAAAAGTCTACATTTAACTAGCGGTTTTCCATGGGGTTGTTGGCATAATTTTTTTTATGCAACTTAGAATAGCAAACAAGATGACGGCCCACAGTACCGTGGACATAACAGAGTATATTGTTCCGCCCATGATATTTTTCTGTACTTTGTAAATTCACTGCCATATCCCACCCATCAAACCGAAACACAGGTATATTTTACATATATTTAGGTGAGCGCAATTTCTTAGTAGAAACACTACAACTATACTGTTTTCTCTATTTATTGTACGCACGCTGCCCGCTGGTAATTAATGCTCTTTTCCACTCCGGATACGTTGGAAGGGAATTCTTACAGAGTTTGTCTATTGTACATCTTTATTCAAAATAAATTATAACTATGTACTCTTTGTATGTAAATAAGTTTACCAGAGGGAGCTTTGTACAAAAGTCGATTGCTTGGTACCTCTGTCCCATTCGTGTTTCAACCGTGAAGCAGTTGTGTTTGCATGGCTGTGTTTCGATTTGAAGGGTGAGATATGGCGTGAATTTACTGGGTACAGAGGAATAACACCTGACTCCTCAGGAATGGCAACGCATGGGGGGTATCATGGGCGAAACAGTATACTCTGTTATGTCCATGGTACTGCTCATGTCTATAGGCGACGGTTGCCACTTTCCATCAGGTGGGCCGTCAGTTTGTTTGCCATTCTAAGTTGTATAAAAAAGAATAGTCATTATTTTTTATTAAAATATGTAGTTGCATAATGTAAATGAAACACGCCTACACAAAAGACAATGTAGACACTGTTCGTTTAAAATAAAACCATCTAACAGTGTTACTGGCTGTGACGTTCATGAAACTCCGTTTGAAAAATAAAGTGGAATATTTTAATTAAAATGCTTTTACAATAGCGAACGAACGACAAAGTATGCGTCTTATTACTTTTATTCACTCAGTGTAATGTAAATATTATGGTAAATGCCTTTTTTGTTCGTTTCTTTGTAAAATAACAGTTTGATATTTTACAAAAATGTTACGATTGAAATTATATTATTGGTTATGTCTCTACGTATTTATATAAAAATGAATTTTATTTGTACTTTGTTTAGATTCAAAGTAAGTTTTAAAATAGTTAGACTGCTTTTTATTAGAAGATGTTCTTTAAAAAGCCTCGTCAATGTTATTAAATCAAGTCACGGACGAAAAATTTTTAAACTTGCCTACATTTTTTTTGAATGCACTTGACATTTTCACCAAGTCTGAACCAACTTTGATATGTTTTTTGTAATCGATAGACTCAATTTAAATGAAATTGCGTTTTTGAATCAAATCGTATATAAGCATAAGTATATGTATTCAATTTAATTCAAATTCGATTGAATGGTTATTCGATGGTCATTCTATCCGTTGATACAATGTTTCGATTTGCTCCCGATTCGATTGGATATTATTTCGATGAATGTTTTTATTTGCATATACCCGTGTTTGATGTTGTTTAAATCGAATTCCAATTCGACTGAATGTTCGATTAGATATGATTATTACTATACAAGCCTTTAACTGTCCACTGCTGGACATAAGCCTTTCCCATAAGGGGAGTTTATTTCTTACAACACAGGGGGCAAACGAGCATGCTGCTCACCTGATGGTAAGTGACTACCGCCGCCCATGGTCACCCACAATACCTACGGCATTGCAGGTGTGCTGCCGGCTTTTTAAAAAGGAATATGCTCTTTTCTTGAAGGTTATGTTGTCGTATCGGTTCAGAAATACTGCTGCTGAAAGTTGATTCCAAAGAGTGGTTGTGCATGGGAGAAAGTGCCTTGAAAAAGTGCCCTTGCATTGCGTGGGAGTTTTGCCAGTAGTTGCCACGCTTGGCAGGCGGGTTGGCAACCGCAGTTAGGTATTTAGAGATGTTTTAACAAGAACGCTGCTGCCCATCTCTCGTCCGATATCGATTAGATATATATCTGATGAATTCCGATATGATTTTAATTAAATCACAAATCGATTGAACGATCGATCGATTGACGTTCGATTTGACTTATATTCGATGTGATTTCGATTTGATCCCATTTCAGTTACAAAATTTATCCGACAGACCATATGAAAGTAGTAAGTGAAATTCGCAATTCGAAATTATTCCTTCATTAATGACAGTAATTTGCAGCGTACAAATACAAGCTTCGTACATATAATTATGCTCGTTATAAATATTGTTTGTATGATAAATTAAACGTTTCCCTGTTGACTGATGTACCATAGCTCACTAATAATTATTCACCTTGTCTGATATAATACATTTTTATTTTTACTTATTGTTTACTTAGCGGTTTTTTTGATGGAACGGTATCTCCGCTTTCGCTATCGGTGTATGCTGGCGAATTAATTTCTGACGGAAATAACCACGATAGCTTGCAATAATATAAAGTGCCAGATGGAGACTTTGTACAAAAGCTTAGGCATCTTTTTTTATACTACTGACTTATGGTTATGGAATAGGTGATGGAATGAGCTCCCTGCCGAGTTTTCCCAAGAGTCTACAGCATGGAGTTCTTTAAAAGGGGGGTAAAGAGATTTCTTTAGGGTCGGCAACGCACGCGTAATACCTCTGGTATTGCAGGTGTTCATAGGCTACGGCAACCACTTTCCATCAGGTGGGCCGTCGGCTTGTTTGCCATTCTAAGATGCATAAAAGAAATATTGGCCATCCCTTCCTTTCCTGTAGGTATCGTAAGAGGCGACTAAGAGCGAATTTAACGGTTGAAAGATAAGCAGTAGCGTCCTTCTTAAAGCATAACCAAAACTAAAGCCTAAATATAATTGTCAACCCGCTTTCCAAGCACGGCAACTGCTGGCAAAACCTCCCTTAAGGGGGAGGCCTATGTTTAGTAAGGGATAATTAACAGCTCATGTACTAATTATGTAATAACATAAGACAGGACAACATATGATCAGCTAATGAAATTTAATATTAGATGACACAAACTCGATTTAGAAAATTGGTTTTCTAAATTAACATGACGCAGAATTTTACCTAGGCCTTAATTTACGAAAAGCAACGTGACTACTTCAACGCTGTGGAGGTCATATGTGGAGTAGGCATGGGTAATCTTGATTCCGATCCAATATCTATATATTGGGTGTCCTCGGGATATTGATGGCGGGAAAAAGGTCTCATTTCGATAGCATCCCTATCGGTCGAATATATATTTTCGAATATTTAGTTTTAGTTAACTGTGAGTATGCGGCTCACCTGATGGTAAGTGACTACCGCCGCCCATGATCACCCACAACACCAGCGGCATTGCTGCTGCCGGCCTTTTATCCAATATTATTTTTTGAATATCAGACTCTTAACATATTCGTAGATATTGCAATTAAAATATATAGATATCGGTTAGCTGGTAGAGAATGCCATATGGCATTAAGCTCGCCATTTGTACAAAGTTTTATTGTGCAATAAAGAATAAATAAATAAATAAATATTGCTATATATTACTCAGTCCTACTATGGAGGTCATAGATAATCATAGAGATGGCCAACTGATCGATCACGATCGATCGGTCGATCGCGACAATTAGTTCGTGGCAAGGCAAAAAATATAATATATTGCTATTTTAGCGGAAGGTGCTTAGACATATATAAATAACTACAAATATAAATAAGTAGTTACTAAGAATAATTTTCAGTTTTATGTTTTCCCTCTTAATAAAATACCACAATACTACGTAATTGTGTACTGAACTATGTTCTTTTATTTGAGATTTCAAGAAGTATGTAATTGGTAGATAGCACAGGGTTTCGTCAGTAAACAGTAGATCTTGGGTCTAATCATGTTGGCCATCCCTGGTCTAGATCATCTTTGTACGTTTTATTTTATTTTTTTATACAACTTAAAATGGCAAACAAGCTGACGGCCCACCTGATGGAAAGTGGTAACCGTCGCCTATAGACATGAGCAGTACCATGGACATAACAGAGTATACTGTTTCGCCCATGATACCCCCCATGCGTTGCCATTCCTAAGGACTCGGATGTTATTCCTCTGTACCCAGTAAATTCATGCCATATCCCCACCCTTCAAACCGAAACATAGACATGCAAACAACTGCTTCACGGTTGAAACACGAATGGGACAGAGGTACCCAAGCAATCAACTTTTGTACAAAGTCTCCCTCTGGTAAAAAATCCATTCAACTTGTAAGCGACGCGTTCTGTGCCTCAAAACTCAATAGTTTGTCTATGTCATTGTCTATGCGTGCGGTCGTTTAAACTTATAATCGGCGCAACGGACGCCACGCACCAGTCTGTACCTAGATACGATCGACACCACACGTCTATTTATTACCTGTAATTAACTATATTAAAAACGTTAAATAATATCCAATTGTTAAAGTCTTCGTTTTCTTGCCATCATTCGTGACCTACCATATTCCATACCATACACAACTGTTATTTAGGTAAGTGGTATTAAAATCCATTCAACTGTTGGGTAAGAAACTTTCAAATGTCTGTACATTCAAACATTATGTAAGTATATAAATTTTCATACATAATGCCAGTAGAATTTATGAGCTTATAGATTTATTGGAGTGAAGAATAAGTTTTCTTAAAATGATATTCGCGATGGTCAATATCAATTTGCGTCATATTCGTTCTGTCCTATGACATAAGGGTGTATGGTATGGGATGGGATTCTTCAAAAAAGGCTTGATATGGGTCGGCAATGCCCCTGCATTTAAAATTTATATTTTTTAATGAAATATGTGAAACATATTTTTAAAAAATATATTTTTCTATTTATGCTTTTTATTGAGTTTATATTAAATTTTAGAAGTTAAAAAAGTATTTTTAAAGTATTTTGTATTTTTGTTATCGAAAAATTTGTTCCTAAAATATCTACCCTTATACATTTTAACATTATATTCGATAAATATATAGATAGATAGATACTCTTTATTGTTTTCTCCATAAGACTACAATAGTAAACTATTATAAATATAAACAAATAGTTACAAAAAAATATTACACTGAGAAAATAATGGGCAAGAGCGATCTTATCCATGTAACCTTTGAATAAATAAACAGTTTGACTAGAGGCACGAAACTCTATTAGTTTTTTAAATACAAATAGACATATATATATAGGTACCTACAATAATTTAAAATATAAATTACTAGATTAAATGCCATCTAGCGTTAAAAATAAAATTCCAGTCGTACCGACTAGATGGCGCCATAAATATAAAATAGGCATGCCAATAACAGAAGGGCAAATTTACAATTTTAATAAAAAGCATTATAATTAAAAGGTCACAATTGTATTTATTGACGTCACTCAATATTACTTTAAAAAGCTTATTGGAGCAAATCAAATAAACTGATTTAACTTAAGTCCTTGCCAAGTTTCGAATCGCGTCTTGTTTGAAATGTTCTGAAGATTTGTCGAGGAGGTTAATAGGTATGGTGCATGTCATAAGAGAAAATCTGTACGTTACCTACATAAGTACATTCAGGACTTTTTTTAAATTTTAATGGAATACGCCTCGGCTATTGGTGTATGTTGACGGGACACGAGTATACGAATGAAGTCAGGTCAGTTGGCCCATTGTGATGAATTCTCTTAGGATTAACCACAATGATTCCCATAGGGAACTCTATGGAGGTGGAACTGACAGGTTATTGTGCTAGCAATCCTACATACTTTGTTCTGATTTGAAGGATGTTATTATATCAATGATTGCTGTCCACTGCTGAACATAGCCCATAAGGGTTTTGCCAGTAGTTTCCATGCATGGCTGGCGGGTTAACACCACAGTTTGGTTTTTAGTTATGTTTTAAGAAGGACGCTGCTGCTGATACGGACGGACGTGGTGCTGGGACCTACACGGCTAATCTACACGACGAAGGATGTAATATGAAAATGAAATTATTGGGTGTTGTGTTAAACTTAACTATCAAAGAGTTAGTAAATTGCTGATAAAAGTCAGTAGCGTGAGTGGTAATCGTTTAGTATAACTCTTTATTGTGCACAAAATTGACGTACATACGACATGATATATTTATAATAGTTTTATAAGGTAAACCGTTAGCTTGTTTGCTATTCTTTGTATCATAAAAAATATTAAGTCTTATCGCTAAAAGAAATCTCTATTATAAACATTAGTATCAAGGAAATATTAATTTGACCCTCGATAATTTAATAAAGAGACTCTATTATGGATTAAACAGTTTATTATTCTTTCTATGATTTGGATTTTGATTTCAATACGTGAAGTAAATTAATTGAATTAAGAGATGTAAATAAAATCTGTCTCTATGCTTATTTAAAACTAGATTTGACAAATACAAATATAAAATAAATATATTTAAAATATTTTATAAAGCAAAATATTTGTTACAGAATACAATGTTTTATTTTCTATTTAAAAAAATAACTCCCATGTTTTCTAAAATAAGATAATTTTATTTTTTTAAATTAAAATAATTCCAATAAATAGCATTGAAAATTAATTGTAGTTTTACATTATACAATGCTTAAAATTTGCTTTTCACGCGCCGAAATTATACTCGAATTTCAAACAAAAAATCCTTGTTCATTTTAACTTAAATAGTTATTAATATTGTAATTATTTTTAAGTTAACTGTAATTCACATGTGTTTTAAGAAATAACGTATTTTAAATTGTACATAATTACTAATCACAATGGAAAATGAAAGATACGCTTACTTTATTATTACGCTTGTCACTTATCACTTAATCCAAATGCCTAGAAGGTTATTCAAAGAGTCGTATTTAGTTCAAGCGGTGTTTATGGAATATTCCCAATAAATAGGAGAATGCTCTGCTGAAGAGGAACTCCTAATAAAACTTCCGGTACAAAGCTTAAGTGCTTCCTTATAATAGAACATATTTCTTTTATAATATCACTATTTATTTATTTCATATTTAGGCTGGAACCAAAATTAGCTTCTTTTAAGATAGCGTTCTATTAGTATAACTGAAAAATCGCAAATTGATAAAAGAATTTGACTTTTATAACTGATTAGTTTACCTGCAATTTTTGAAATTTTTAAGTGTTTTATTTTCAAAATTCTCCAACCTTCAATAGTTTTTAAAGCAGTGGGTAATTTATTATACAACTTAACCGCTTGATATTTTGCGCCATGTTTCACTATATAAGAACGGTTCTGAGCCACCTGCATCCATTGACTCCGTGCAATGCATTTGAAGTCGTCACTTCATGTATTTGGGGATCATCCTACACTACGTTTGCCCGTATGGGATCGCCATCCAAGAATCTTTTTTCCCCATCGTTTGTCTGTTCTTAAAGTTATGTAACCAGCCTATTGCTACGAGTACTTCAGCTTACTTATCTTTCGGGCTATGTCGGTTAGTTTCTTTTGCTGATATCTTCGTTTCGGATTTTATCACGCAAAGGAACTCCAAGCATAGCCTTCGCCATAGTCCGTTGAGTAATTCAAAGCATTGACCTGTATATAGTATTTATTTATATATTGTATAGATATATGAGAGGCAAATGCAGTGGTACCCTGCATTTTTGTTGTATTTTATTAAGAGAAGGACTGGCTGAAAACCAGCGCTGTGCAGCTGTTCACATTACGCTGGGACACTCACAGCATCAGCTGAGCCGGTTCCTTTTGCATAGATTTTTTTTACAACACGGGGCAAACGAGCATGCGGCTCACCTGATGGTAAGTGACTACCGCCGCCCATGATCACCCACAACACCAGCGGCATTGCAGGTATGCTGCCGGCCTTTTAAAAAGGAATATACTCTTTTTTTGAAGGTTATGTTGTCATATCGGTTCGGAAATACTGCTGCTGGAAATTGATTACAGAGAATGGTTGTGCGTGGAAGAAAGTGCCTTGAAAAACGGACGGCGGAAGACCGTCACTCGTTCAGATGATTGGGATGAAGATAGTATGGGACACTTCTTGTATATGTATTTTCTTTATTTTCTATTGCGATTGTGTGTTTACTGTTTACTTTTTAAAACGCCGGCAGCACACCTGCAATGCCGTAGGTGTTGTGGGTGACCAAGGGTGGCGGTAGTCACTTACCATCAGGTGAGCCGCATGCTCGCTTGCCCCCCGTGTTGTAAAAAAATGTTGTCTTTTCTATTCTATATATGGGTTATATTTACCTGTAATTATGTAGCGTTAACTCTCGATCGTGAATTTAAATATGTGTAAATAATGCGAAAGTTCAAAATTAAGTGGTATAAAAGAAGAAGTCAACACCAACCTGTATATAGGTGTACCAAGATCTTCCCTGTACCACAGCACAAGTAGAACAGCATCCACGTCATCCTGGGTACTGATGTCACATGGCAGGTATACTGGTTCACCCGCCACCGCCACCACTTGGGTCATAGGCACTGTGGACAACGAGATGGTATTTAATCGATTTATTTTATCTATCAACCAAAATTGTTGGGAACTAGTGTGCCATTTAGAGTCAGGATATTTCTTCAGGGTTAGCAACGCGCACGTGACACTACTAGTGTTGCAGGTGTTCATACTGTGACCGTTTACCATTAGACGGGCTGTATGCTTGTTTGCCACCTTCGTTTTATAAAAAAAGGTTGTAAATTTAAAAGTCTAAATGGTACATACACGAGACAATTAGTTTCTGATATATGTATATCTCAATATACTTTGTTTAATATAAAATATAATATAATATTTATAATAATAGAATATATTTACTTTAAATTGAAATAACACTTGTGATGTTAGGTGAATTTTCTTTAATTTATAATAAAAAAAATGGACTTTTGTTTGAAAAATAATAAGTTAAGTTTCTTGACCATTTTTCATGGCAGTAGATTCAAAAACACTATTAAAAAAAATTTTTAATTAAGTATACTTGAAGAGAAATTAATCTTATTCTTATTAAATGCTTTTATTCATTAAATAATTTAATTTTTTATTCATTAATACACTTTGTCAGGTGTGTTACGTGAATATCAAATACACGTAGTCACCTATGGAAATCATCGTGGTTAATTCCTGATAACTTTGTCACAACGGGTCAACTAATCTGAGGGCCTACCATGAAATGTTTTTCGAAATTTCGGTTCCGAACGAAACACAAATTTGATACTAAAATTACATGGTACATACCGTTTATTAATATTAGAAATACTATTGTTCCTTTGGACTTTTATGGTAGGATTTATGACAAACGAAATGTTAAGCTCCATTGGGTCGATTTCGGTATGAACAAAAACACAAAATTGAGTCCGAAAATTCGGAATTTCATTTCATGGTAGACCCCCTGATTTTATTTTCCTCTATCGTCGTTCACTAATAAAATCAAAATATAAATGGATCTGAAATATGTACATATTAAACATATAGAATGTCTGATAGCTTAAGTAAACATAATTATAGCAGTTCTGTTATGTTATTTACAAACTTACCAAACTTAAGATTATGTTTATATTTAGTTCAAATTATATATAATATGTAGTAACTAAGGGAACTGGATGGTTAAGGGATGGAAAGCAGCGTCTCTTTTAAAACATCAACAAACCTTAACTGCGGTTGCCAATCCGCCTGCTAAGCGTGGCAACTATTGGTAAATACCCTCAGTAGGTGGAAGCCTCTGTTCAGCAGTGGACAGTTGACTGCGGATTTGATAATGATGATATAGTACGTTTCTATGATATTTAGAACTTTTAAAAACCTTTTAGCAATTCTCTCTCTCTCTCTATGCGCGCTTCTCAAAATGGGGTATTATTATTTATAATATTTAATATATATATAATATAATATGTGGGGTACTACGTAATACTAACTTTACAAGTATATGATATATTCTTTAACAATATAAAGGTCGTAAGCCTCTTGGTACTAAATAGAAATAAAGCACAATTTTTTTTTATACAACCTAGAATGACAAACAAGCTGACGGCCCATCTGATGGAAAGTGGTAACCGTCGCCTATAGGCATGAGCAGTATCATGGACATAACAGAGTATACTGTTTCGCCCATGATAACCCCACGTGTTGTCATTCCTGAGGCCTCAGGTATTATTCCTCTGTACCCTGTAAATTCAAGCCATATCCCACCCTTCAAACCGAAACACAGCCATGCAAACACAACTGCTTCACGGTAGAAACACGAATAGGACAGACGTACCCAAGCAATCGACTTTTGTACAAAGTCTCCCTCTGGTGTACATCCGGATATCCGGACAAACATAAAGCATTAGCACTATTAGGGCTTGTGTTATAATTTTCTTCACCCCATGCGTTGCCATTCCTGAGGAGTCAGGATTATTCTTTTGTACCCCGTAAATTTACAGTCATATCGCACCTTTCAAACCGAAACAAAGCCATGCAAACACAACTACTTCACGGTAGAAACACGAATGGGACAGAGGTGCCCAAGCAATTGACTGGGTGATGTAATGGCGTGACTGACAGTCACGAAAAAACAACGAATTAAGAAACAATGTGATTCTCGATTCGTCACATTTTTCTGCTTTTAGAATACGCAAGGAAGGCAATATATTTAAACGGATTTATTTAGCACAGCACGTGTAAATATCAAGAGGAAAATAATATCATTGAAATAAACTGTACGATTTTTATTACTCAGTACCTGTTTGTCAAGATACAAGGGTATCAATTTTACACGTGATACAGTAATAAACATCTGCTTAAGATATTTCAGTAGGATAAAAATAGAAAAGCAATATCGCCTCTAAAGATGATATTGAACGAAAAAGACATCATAGAAAATAGACATTCGTATACCTACATCTCAGTGACACTTTCACTAACGAAAATCTCGGATACTACATCTCTGTGTAGTGATTTAGTGTTGGCAATTATTCGATTTTATGAATAATCGATAGTTTTCGTTTAGATTAATCGAAATGTCTATTAGCTTATCGATTGAAGATTTAAGCAAACTAATTTATTATAATCTGATATACGATTATAATGGCTCGATGAATCGAGTCTTAAGAATAAAATCGATCACTCTGTTATAATTTCTTATAATCTCCTTTATATGCTACTAGTAGTTTAGTTATTCTAATAGTAAAACTGAATATCTTTTAAAAAATTACAAGAGAAAAAATACAAATTTGAAACTTTCGCGTTAAAGCGGTGATGAAAGGTTCAAAATTTATTTGAAGTTTTTCGATCATTTTGTTCAAATATAAGGTATTGATTATATATATATATATATATATATATATATATATATATATATATATATATATATATATAAGATAAGTTAAGCCGTTTGGATCCCAAGAGTTTATAACAATACATCCTAAAATAAATTATGTTACTTATGTATATGTATGTAATTTCCTTTTTTTCTCTTTTTTTTGTGTATTTTAACTATATTTGTTGTTATTTTTGTGTTGCAAGTAGTTCAAGTGATTTTTTTATGCACCTTAGAATGGCAAACAATCTGACGGCACACCTGATGGAAAGTGGAAACCGTCGCCTATAGACATGACCATGGATATAACAGAATTTACTGTTGCGCCATGATACGAGTACCCTCTATGCGTTGCCATTCCCAAGGACTCAGGTTTCTTTTTACCCTGTAAATTCACTGCCATATCTCACCCTTCAAACCGAAACACAAACATGCGAACATAACTGCTTTACGGTAGAAACACGAATGGGAAAACAGAGGTCCCAAGCAAAATTATATATATATATATATATATATATACACAAATAGATCTTTTCATTTAAGCTTGTGGGTGCAACTAATTCATGCATCTTCTTCCAGCCAGCTCTATCCCAGGCCGTATCCTTGACCTCTCTATACGACATGACACCTAGTATTTTCTTCATCTGTCCTTATAGTTATTCCTCAGTCATTCCCTTTCTCTTTTAGCCTTTACTTTTCTTTTTACTGTGCTCTTTAAAAAATTTTAAGGAAGTAAGGATTATAATATCGAGAATTTTCGATTACCGATTACTGATTCTACTCGATGCTTACAACACTATTTCTATTCAGTGATTATATCGTTGATCCTACAATACAGTGAGCACTGTATAGAATTTCCACTGAACATACGCTACCTGTCAAATACGTATTCAAGAAAAGCTCTCGAAGTTGGGTGTATAGCGTACTATTATCATCTCTTTGGCATTATAATATGAATGAGTTGTGTACAGTTGGTAAGAAGCGGAGATTTCGGATGTAAATAGAGATAAAATAAGTGGAAAATCAAAGGAAAAATGTGTTTTGTAATGGCTTAGTGTTCGTAACAATCATAAAGATGTTACATTGAGTAAATTAAACATAATTATGTATTTTTGAAATAAATAAAAATCTTACTATTGTAAATGTGATAGTATGAATAATTGTTAATTAATCACGTTTAAACGACTGGACGGATTTGAATAAAATTTAGTACATAAATAGATCACAACCTAGAAATTGGACTATGGTTATAATAAGTATTTATAAAAATACAGTCAAATGACTTTTTCTTTAACACCTCAATTTTTAAAGTCAGTTAAGTAATCATACGGAAACAAAAAAAGTAACTTTAATTTAACCAAGAATACCAAGAAACAATTTCGGACTCCAATAACTTGCAAGTGTAACGAAAGCCGGACGATGCATCCAGCGACGGACGTCCGGATATCCGGACGTCCCCGCGTCCGGATGCAATGTGACAATCCGGGGGAAACTGGTGACCATTTTTGTTTCCACCGTTGCATTTTATGCACTGCTCCATGGTGTAGAGCTTAATGGTTAAACCGTTTTATTTTTATGCGATTTTAAAATGCGGGGTTTAATACAAAAACACAAACTTCATAGTGATAGGTTAAGCCGTTTTAACACTAAGATGTAACAAACAAACGTACTTGCACATTTATAATATTATCACTAAAGTTATAAGTCCTTATGGATTTACTTTGCACAAAACTCGATTGCTTGGGTACCTCTGTCCCATTCGTGTTTCAACCGTGAAGCAGTTCTATTTGCATGGCTGTATTTCGGTTTGAAGGGTGGGATATGGCGTGAATTTACTGGGTACAGAGGAATAACACCTGAGTCCTCAGGAATGGCAACGCATGGGGGTATCATGGGCGAAACAGTATACTCGTACTCTGTTATGTCCATGGTACTACTCATGTCTATAGGCGATGGTTATCACTTTCCATCAGGTGGACCGTCAGCTTGTTTGCCATTCTAAGTTGTATAAAAAAAGCTGTTATCTGTTTGTTCATTTTTGATCATAGGACTCCCCCATAGACTGATGTAAGGAATGTAAGCATTCCTTAAGACAGTTTACCATTAGGAGGATTTTGTTAGTAGTTGCCACACTTGGCAGACGGATTGGCTGACGCAGTGCAGCTTATTGTGATGTTTTAAGAGGGACGC